GCCTACAGCTGTATGTGGGTGCAGAATCGCCCTCCCCATTTACTTCATGGAGGTCAATGATTGGAAGCTGGAGACATGGTCCCACTGCCTCTTCCATGCACTGGCTGTGAAGACTCCTTGTGATTTCTGGGTATTACTCAGCATGGGAGTGGAAACAGGAGGGACGAGAGATCAGAGCATGTCATCATGAACAGCACCCATGCCCACAACTCCTGCACTCTCACTCTTTAGTCCAGTTCTCTGAAAATCTGGCAGGGGATGTGATTCAAATTCTGCTGAGAAGTGTCGCTGGGTCAAAATAGGTGTATCATATCTGCTGGACCTCCAAACAAAAGTCATGCAATCAATGATACCAAAGTGGCCAGACACCAGGGAAGCATTGCTATAGGGTTGGAGAGGTAGTCTGGATAATATCTGTGGGTCCCTTCCAAACCTGTGGTTCTGTATCTGTGAGGTTAGAATCTACAAAAAGAAACCTGATTGCTGAACCAATCAAACCAGTTCCATAGCTGACCCAGGTAAGTGCCTCTGTTAGCATCCTAATGGGCCATGTTGTGATGGAGACAACTGAGGCATGATGCATTCTCTCCACCCTGTCATCTGGCTGGAAGTGACATCATCTTGAAGTTAGGACAATTGCAGAGCTCGTCCTTGTATGATTGATGCTGGAAGCAACAGAGGCACAGGGAGGTTTGACTTCCTCTCTGTGTTGAATCCAAAGCTATGGAAACTAATGGGGAGGCACAACCTGTTTTAGTCCCAAAGGCCAAATAGAAAGGCCCAGGAGGCTGCATTTGGCCTCCAGGCCTGAGGTTCTGCATCCCTGACCTCCAGCCTCTAGCTTTTAAAACAAATATATACCTCTTGCTATTCTGGGAACTGCCCCCAAAGTAAGCAAGCAAACAAAATGCAGCCACACTGGTTTTTGTGGTCAGATAGCTGTTACAAGGTTGTGTACTGTTACAATGGCAACTCCTCTCACCGCTTTGTGTTGGTAACACTGGCATAGAATGTATCCTATTTTGCACCTGTTTTCAATTAGAAATATAAATCTCTACCCTAGTGTAGCAATGTTTGACTTATCTCCAGTCAATTAGACATAGCTGAGTTTAAAGTTCCATTAGGTGTTGCCTTTTTTACATACTTGGGCCTTCTAGAGGTGTTAGGTTCAGGTCCCGATGGCCTTATAAAATGCCCAAGCAATCCCCACCCCCTTTTCAACAAATAATAAACTGGTTTTATTGACTTTTTCTCATTTTGATATGTTAAATTTATCTATAAATCCATGGGAAATGCAACATTTGCTCACATTTTATTTCTCTTCTGTGCAATATAAAAGGAACTAATAAGCCAGGTTGGTCTTTCTGTTGCTTTGACAACAGATTTAACTGATTTAATGAAAAACAAAAGTTAAGGGAGAAAAAAGACTTATAATGGCTTCTATTTTTGGCAATTTTGTTATTGTAATTTATGAAACCAGGAACTGAAGGTTTGCAAAATGAGAACCCTGCAGAAGACAAATCAAACATTGCATAGATCAGCAAATTTTAAGAAACATTCAAAGGTCAAACATATAAGCAAGAAGCAAGTTAGTAAAAGAAAATGTATTGGGCTCTGGATGCTAACACACACGTGCACACCCAGCAGGAGAGTGGAAAGAAGAGAGGACCATTTATCTGGGTAGACAGTGAAAGGTGTTCCTTAACATCTGCTGCCTTCTTGTCCTCTGCCTATGGTACGTTTGCAGGAGAGTTTGGCTCCTAGAGAGGTCAGCCAGTTTGACTCAGCAGTTTGTCAGCAGACACCTCTGCCTGATGTCATCATCAGGTTTCTGGTGACAAGGACTTAAAAGGAATCCTGTTTGGCGGGATGGACCCACCAGTGGCAGGGTCACCACCAATAGCTTGTAGTCCTCCTATATTCATCCTTATCACTGGAGGTCCAGGTAACTGACTAGATTATCCTCAGGGTCCCTTCCAACTCTACAATTATATTAATTGTGTATTGTCCCTGTACTCTGGAACACCCCTTCCCTTTGTCATACACAAAACATCATCCATTAGTTGCTTCAGAGATGTATATACATCTTTTTTCAGGCTTTCACTGACCCTTAAGATTTGAGCCTGTTATTTCTAGTTTTCTGTCTTTATATCTGTTTATATAATACTGTTGTGAGTTTGGGGGTTTAGCCTGCACGATACCCAAGTCCCTTGTAATTCCTGGAATCCTGGATCCAGCAAGGGTTAAAATCTAATGGATTTGTTCCACTGTTGAATGGGTCAGGCAAGTCCCTTTGTGAGAGAATGGCCATAGTTACCATCTAAGTATGTTCCTTATTATAACAAAGTGGGTTGCTGTATGCCAGAGAGCAAATGGGTGGTAGAGAGAAAGACAAAAGCCAGTGTGTGAGACAGCTGAGCTAGAAGCAGGCAGAAGCTAGAGAGTGAGAGCTAGAAATTAATGAGACTAGGTAAGCAAGACAGGAAAGGTAGGGTGTTAAATATAGATATACTTTGTAGAGAAAAGCAGACATACAGAATGACCGGTAATCTCAGGGTGGTCTATTTCTGCAAAAATGTCTTACTTTTACAAACACTTTGCTCATCGTTTCATAAACAGTTGCAAAAATACCGTACACAGACTGCTGTTTTGTCCACAGCTTGACCACAAGATGTAAAAGCATGGTGTATTGTTGGTAATTCTGTATTTGCATTTCTGTACCCAGCATCCCTATTTTTGACATCTTTCTTACCTTTCCTCTTCCATTAACCTTAGTTGAACCTTTAAGTGCCAATGCTTTGGACAAAATCCCCATCTATGTAGACTTCTTGTACTGTTTGTTTCTGCTTTACTGAGCCAGGATTCTAGAGTGTCACCCGTTGTGTAACTGAGAATCTAGTATGCTGTGTCTCCTCTCCACAGAGGTGGTTGTCATCAATGAACCTGTTGTATTTCAGACAGTGTATCAAATTTGCCGTCCTATTCTCTCATCTTTTCACCTCTTGGCTGAAGGGGTATGCTTTTGTGTTTGTGGCGTGGCTTTTCAAGCTCATGCCTCCAGTCACACATACACAAATGCATAGCTTTTAGTGCACATAAATATTTTCAGTATTCACGATATGGCCAATTTTTTGCACACAAGTTCCAGAATATTGACTGTGGGGCAACTGGGCTATGTGGCTAATCCTACAAAGAAAAGCAATCATGAATATCAAGACAGCCAGATGGTAAATTTCTGGTTGTGGCACATTTTACCTTGAATTGCAGAATTATGCAGAGGGAGGGTGTGGAATCCTGTGTTTCCTATGAAAGGACACAAACCAGTTTTTGACAAGACAGCAGTGTCATGATTTTTGTTAGTATTCATCAGTCTGTCCTTGCTTAGTCTTGTGCCAAAGAAGCAGCTAGGAATTTATTTGAAGTAGAAATAAGATATTCTCTCCCCTTTATGCTGTTCTCACTGGTGGTATATTTTTCTGATGGGAAAGTGGTTTAACATACATTTACTCCCACCTGCAACATGAAGTGGCACAGTTCAGAAAGACCTTTACTGCGTGAATGTGCTGAATGTATAAACTGAGATTTAGATGTACACCACTTTTGAAGGAATGATTTGTGCTTTTGAAATCCTTATATTATGACTGTGTTTCATTCAGCAGCTGATGTTGTGACCTTTTTTTGTCCTAGTTCGTGCTAGAATTGTCACAACATTATTTTTAAAAGGAAATCATGGAACTTACTTTATTTGCTTCATGGAATCTATAGCATTGCATAACTTTAGCATTGCAATGGTTCCATGGTGTTGTCTGAAATAAAGGACAGTCCCTTTTAACATTATAAAATAACTTCTACGGATTAACTTCTCCCACTCGTAGTAAAACAGATTAGAACCTCACATTGACATTACCACTTAGGGTGTGTGGACAGGGCAGCACTGAGTAAACAGTGCCTTTGCTGTTCCTGCAGCTGTTCTCCTTTCCTATTGATGGAATCCTTATCATTCCAGAACTCCTACCCTAACCTTCTCTTGGTGCTTGGATGAAAAATCAACCAACTCAAACACTTTGAAATAAGCTGTGAAACAACCTGGGAATCCACACAGTTGCTGAAGTACCAGCAATTATGTGGTGTAGTAGTAGTAATAATAATTTATTATCGACTTATTTGACAATGAAATCATCTCCTGGAGTGCTCTTTGCGAATCCTCTGCATGCCAGTTTACTCAGAGAGAATCCCACCAAATAAACCAAGCAGCAGCAGAAGCAGATTACATTAGCATGCATGACTAAGGGTTAAACTGTCACTTTTATTTTGAAAAGCTCCAAAGTTACTTCACGATGATTAAGCAACATGCCACAAAAATAGTGAGCATGTATTTGAATCCACAAGGCATCGGACTAGACCTTGAGCCAAACAGAAGAGGCGTGTGAGGAAAAATTAAGCTGTGCGCTATTAATCCAAAACCTTACTCTTGGTTATATAGTCTTAGAAAGGGTGCGGCTATGGGAATAGTGTGCCTTCACCACTGTTCCTAATACCCAGCATTAAAGGTGAGAACCGCCACATTCTGGGTCCAAGGGCAATTCCATCTGAGTCAACATGGACTACGATGAAACTCTTTTAAGACTTTGCGATGCCCATGAAGTTTGGGATTTTGCCGTAACAAGACTAAATGCAGCTCCCATTCCGGGCCTTGGCCATGGCGGATGCTGCCTCTCCATATCAGCCTTTCTGACTGCACATGGCAGAAACTCAACAGGGGAGGCTTTTTCCAAAACAAAAGAGGGCAGCAGCAGATGGCTTCGCCTATTGAACGCCTGCCTTGCAGAAACAGTTGTCGGAAGCCGAGGGAACTCTCCTCGCAGCGGGGAAGAGAAGGCACTCGACGGGCCTTTTCAGCTGCGGCTTCCCTTCAGCTTCAAGGCCCAGAGAGCGCCCTCGCCGCCGCCCCATGAAGGCCAGGCCTCGCCTCTTTATTGCGGCTCCCTCCGTTGCCTAGCAACCAGCGGCAGGCCTGCTCGCCCGCCCGCCCGCGCCGGGCCGGCGCTCCAGTAGCCGAGGTCGGCGGGTTAGAAATGCGGCCGTTGGGGTCTCGCGCGCCGTCTGAAGCGGAGGGCCATGAGGGGCCTCAGCCTCCTCCCGTCCTACAGAGGCGAGGGGGCCGAATCTTCGGCCGCCGTTGAGCCTCCTTCGTCTTTTCCCCGAGCGAGCGCGGTGGTGGTGGAAGGGCCGCTATGAGCAGGAGCCAGCAGCGCATCCACTTGGAACAGCAGGGTGCGTGGGAGTGCTGGGGGTGGGGGGCTGTTCTGGGGGGGGCAGAGGGGAACTGCTGCAAGACCCCCCAACTCTTCCCCTAAAAGGAAGGGACGCTGCAGAAGGCGCTGGTGGGCCACTCTCCCTGCTTAGCGTGCGTGCAGTATGGCGACCCAATTGGTCTACCTTACGAGGTTGTTGTGAGGGATTAAGGTGAAGCTCCGCGGGCGCTCTCTTAACAGGGCGATGTGTCCCATTGAGCTAAATGGGGTTTATTCACAAAGAAGAAGGCACAGGATTCTAGCCTAAAGCATTTTGCAAATGCTGGGTATTGAAGAGAAGAGGCATGTTGGGGCTCAACCCTGCCTGAAACGACTCCCCTATCACGTGGGGACTGAGAGGGAAGGGCACTCTGCACATGGCTTGAAACACTTCTCACCCTGCAGTGGGGGTTTGCACATCGTTCCGAGGTATATTGTGTTGAAAAACAGGTTGCAGGAATGGCACCTGACACAAACAAAGCCGTGGGGGCTTCCACTCCAAAAGTAAAAGATACCTAACAGTTCTGAGGACTTGAGGAAACAAAAGTGAGCAGTGGTAAACTAGAGCAGGGGGAATAAGAATTAGCCTGATGGGAAGGGAGTTTGTTTTCAATGAGGAGTCATAAGGGTAATTCCCCCAAGATTGTATGGTGGTCCAGATTAACATGCGTATGGTTTTGTGTGGTGTGTTTGTTCTGAGGTGGTGGGGAGAGTGTGGGCTTGAGAAACTTATAGGTTTGAGAGATGATTTGGGGATAATTTATTTGATTTAGATTTGCTAGTGTAAGTCAACTGCTAGGCTGGAAAGAGCAGAGGGCTGTAAATTTCATTTATCGTAGTTCATGTGAAAAGAGACCATCAGAAATGTGCTATAATTTTTTTCCTAACAAACTTTGAAATCTATGCCTTTTGATGCATTGTACATAGGGTTCATTTTTAAAAAATTTCCCAGAAACTTCAGTGAGTACAAAATACAGTGTGACCAGTTAATTGGAGCCAGCTTCTCACCTGTGCTTGCATAGCTGCATTAGATCTCTTTCCAAGCACAATTCAAAGTGTAGATTGTTACCTTTCTGTGGGGAATCTTTGGTCTACAGGCTTAATTAGGTATGCTAGGCCTCTCCATACCCACCTGCCTTACACCTAACATCTTGTATGATGACACCAGGTGCAGAGCAGGTATATGTGCACTTGAGCCAAAAAGAAGTTTGCAGGCACTGCTGATCATCAACACCTGCAAAGCCCAGTGCAGCTGATTGGTTGTTGATGCTTTGTGGGCTGTGCCAAAAATGGGTCATCTGACATCACTGTGGTGTCAGGTGATTGATAGGTGGGTGAACTCACCTCCTGGCTAGATCCACTTCCCCAACCTTGCTATAAAGGCTTAGGTCGTGTGTGGCTGGTGATAAATGGATATAGAGCTGTCCCAGTTGTACCTCTGATGTGTAATATTCTCTCTCAAGAAGTGTAACAGGTTCCAATTTTGATGTCTTTTTGGCACCCGAAATTGCAGCAAATTTTTTAGTTTTAGTGTTTTCTGCTTGATCTTAGAGGTTTTTGCTGTAGCTTCTATGATTTATTGTATTGTTTGTATGCCAGCCTGAGAACCCTCTTATTGAAAGATGGTTTATAAACTGACAAAATAAGCTATAAAAATTCTTTATGTGTCTTGTTAATAGATATTATATCCCAATCACACTCCTTTAAATCGGTGTTCTGACCAAATTTTGGTTTGAATAATATGTTGTAGTGCATCGTTAAAATGGGGGAGTGTGCTGTCTAAAGCAAAATTTACCATTACTGGTAAAATAGTGTTTTTGATACAAGTATATTTAACTGTAATGTTACTTTAACTTTTGGTATGAAAATAGAGTAACTGAATCTGAATGGACTTTGCATATTACAGGTTCACAAGCTCCTAATGGTAAGCTGCCAGAAATCTCGTGCATCCCTGAATGGTAAGTATTTATTTAACTTTGCCCAGTGGTCTAAAATTAGTGTTCTGAAATATGAAACACAGTGTTTTTAAAATACGAAAGCCCAACCCAACTTGATTTCAAAAGAGGTTGGTTTTTAGCTAAGTGCTAGTGCTGATCTACCTTAACTTAGCATCGTTCCATAACTCCTAACTCCTCATTCCTCACTCCCATTAATGGAGATGAGTGGTTAAGTCTGTAATCTTATATCAATGTATTATTCTGGGAGTAAGCCCCACTGAACTAAGTGAGACCTGCTCCAAAGTAGACATGTAGAAGATTGCATTGTTAATCTCTTTGTAACTGAGAGGCTGCTGTTGCTTACTGCATCTGCCACCTGAACAGCAGACTTGTATGTAGTCATGATGCTGAAATTGCCTGATGCTGGTTCACAGGAATACTTTCGATTCTCTAGTTTAGAGCCAAATATTCCCTTGTTCTATTCAACTTCTTGTTCTATTCAACTGCTTTATTCCCAGTTGTTGAGACCCTTGGGGGTTTATTGATATTTTTAAATGTCTACGAGTACTGCACTTTCTTTGCCAAAGATTTGGAGTTATTATTTCCTATTTTAGGGGATAGGGTCTTGTAAGTTTAAATTGCAATAGAAGAATTTACAATAAGGACAGCTTAGCATCCTATTTTAATGATTCATAAGAGCTGTAGCAGTTATCAAAACAGGCACTTTTTAAAAGTAAAGGGACGTATGCCTCTAGTATGCATAGGATCCTTTTCTTTATGACGATGCATTCTGAACTTTCTTTGGCAATCTGTCTGGTTTTCTCACTGAGAAGATCAATGCAAACTTTCCTGAAATAGTTTGTCCATCCCTGTTGATAGCCCTGTAAAATGCATGCTGTTGATTTGGAGTATGCCTAAAGATGCACTAGAGATCATACTGGGTAATAGTGAGGCTGTACATGTCTGAACAATGCCTTGTGCTCGGTGTGCACCCTAGAACATTTCTCTTTTCTGTGTAGCACTCCAATATTCCATGGCTGAAATTGAGTAGTTTCTCACAAATAACTTGATAAGGAAAGAGGTAGCTAAATGTTACAACATTTGATTGAAAACAGTATGTAGCACAGTTCTGAAGAAGCAGTAAGTTGGCCATGGAGAGAGGTCCTTCTGAGGAGTGATCATGTAGGGCAGTCTTCCCCAACATTTTGGACTAGTTTCCATCAGCTTCAAGGGAAGGCCAACCGAGTGCTTGATTGAAACATAGCAATCCTTGGTGACCCACTTGAGAAATGTCTGTACCAGACAACATGTGAAAAGCATTTATTATTTTTGCTTTTGTATCCCCTCTGGTGTTCACTATGATGTTTGAAACAGCAGACCTGTCATTTCTCAGACACCAAAGGAACAAAAATTGCCAATCCTAAAATCTGAACAAAGATTCCTGGATAAAAAAGTCTCCGGAAAATCATTCGGGGGTCACCTTTTCGAGAATAGTTGGAAACATGCAGTGATAAAGACAAAAAGGATAAAACAAGGTAAGATGTTTAAGGTTGTCATTTGATAGTTATCCTAGGCTACATTTCATAAAAAGGAAACTTACCAAGATTTTTTAGTGTTGGAATTGCCATAAAGATCAACCTAATCCCTATTTCTGGCTGCTTCCAAATTGTCATTAGTTTGTGGACTGGAATCCACTGACTACTGGCAAATTTAGGTTGAGCAGTTATAGTGGATTTCATAGTTGTGTACAACAAACAAATTCCTTTGCAATAAGAAAAGTGATGGGAAATACACTGAAAGGGGATAACAATTGCTTGATTTAAATACAACATCCCCACAAACAAATCAAAATCAAAAGTTGTTAACAAACTGGTTGTCTGGGAAGGTACCTATGTAGTTTTTCCTTGCACTTTTTGTTGTTGAGAGTTATCTTCCACTCCTTAAAATCAATAGACATTTGCCCACTGAGTTCAAAAGAACAAGAATTGTCCTTTAAACTGCTGTACTACACACCCTCTCCAGATATTGCTGTTCTTCTCTGCCACTTTTGATACCGTTAACAATAGTATTCTTCTGGATGGGCACCCTGGTTTGGAAGATGGAAGTGATGTTCTGATTGGTTCACTTCTGCCTCTCAAGCTGTTCCCAGAATGTGATAGTTGGGAACTACTGCTTGATCCCATAGAATTTCTTCTTTGCTGTTTCATAGTGTTTTGTCTTGCTCCATACTTTTTCATAACTAAATCACACTTTTGGATAAAGGCCATCAGTGTACTGATGACACCCAGCACTTTCTGTGTGTCTCTTGTTTTATCAGTTTCAGGTGAGGGAGTAGAAGTGCTGAGGAGGTGCCTGGAATCTATAATGGGCTGAATGTGGGTTAATAAGCAAACTCAATCCCATCAAGACAGAGGTTCTGTGAGTAGGTGTTTTGTCTGTTCAGGGAGATAGTGTTCAACTTGTTCTGGATGGGGTTACATTCACCCTAGAGGTAGCTAACGTGGTACCGAAGATGTAGTTGAACCACAGCTCCTATCATCACTGACCTGCTGACTTGGACTGATGGAAACTGTAGCATAACAACATGTGGAGGCCACCTCATTAGCTTCTCGGACTGAGTACACATTTTGGGGGTACTCCTAGATCAAACATTCTACTTGGAGGCCTTGGAAGCTCTGTGGCAAGAAGTGCCTGTCCGCAGCATAGGCTGGTGCACCAGCTGCGGCTTCTCCTAGACAGAAATAACCTGGCCATAGTTATTCATTCCAGGTAACATCTAGGATTGAATAATACAATGTTTTGTGCATGGAGCTGCCTTTTAAAATGGTTCAGAAACTGCAAATGGCTCACAGTACGGTGGTTAGGCTGCTAACTGTAACTGATCATTTTAGAAGTATTACGCCAATACCTGAAGAACTTCACTAGTCCATTTTCCACATGCAATTCAAAGTACTTCTGAAGTCCTTATGTGACTTGGTACCTGAAGGAACACCACCTTCCATATCAATCTGCCTATGTAGTGAGAGTCTTCAGAAGCTCTCTTCTGGAGCTCTCTCCATTTGAGGTAAGGTGTGTGGTGGCCAGAGTTGAAGGCCTCTTCTGGTTGTGGTACCCCGTTTGTTCTTTCCCAAGGGAAGCTTACCTGATACCAGCATTACTATCTTTTCAGTGCAAGCAAAGACTTTTTACTTTCCCAGGCTTTTTAATATATTGCTGTTTTTAATATGTTGTGTATTAGCATGCTTTTGTAAATGGCACAAAAGGATTGCTAAAGGGAGATATATAAACATTCGTTTGTAAATAAAATAAATGTTAAGGTAGTCAACGACAGTTTGATTTTGTTCTAAACAGTAGGTTTTGGGGGGGGGGGTTAGCGATGGCATTATTCCAGCTTTGACTGCCATTCAGGGGTTCTTAGGATTGCTGCAACTTGATCCTCTTACCTGGGAGTACCGTAAGCCCCATTGAACTTGGTGGAACTTATTTCAAAGTAGACATGCATAAAATAGTGCTGTTATCTGCAGTCCCCCTGCGATGCATTGTGTTCCAGGTAGTGGCTCAGCGTAAGGAACAGAATGTGCATGTTTTAGATACTGGAGTAAGTTTCAGCTGTGGATTTGACATGATGAATAGATGTTATGTAGTTAGTTTAGTCTAAGTGTGTGCACACACAGTATATTTAGAAGAAGGCATTTCCGCTCTTGACGATTCCTGACTCTATAGGTGGCTGAGAACATAAGCTCACTATAAGGGAACTGCTCCTTCTGACTTGGTAACCTCACAAGGACCAGACCAGTTTCCTGTGCCCAGACATGTCTCTTCAGAAGTCTCCCATTGACCTCAGTGGAGCAAACTTCTAAGCAAGTGTAAGACTGTAGCTCTAGCTAGTTTTGGCCTGATGTTCCATGTATGCTGCTTTGAATTATTTCTCTTAAGCAGAATATACATCTGCATATGGCTTGAGAGACTCTGATGAAAATGCTGCAATGCCAAGTCTTGCTCAGGCAATACCAAACCCCTCTCCCGTTGCACAGAAGACACAAGGTGCTGCTCATATATTTCCAGACAGGTATACCATTATAAACTCTATTATTGTATGAAGTGTATAGATGTTTCACATATTCAAAGTGCACTGCACAGGTATAATTCAGAGGCAGACTTCAAGCTGAGGAATTTCTAATAAGCACATCTCATAAAATTTCATGTACAAATTTATTTTAAAAATAGCAATAGAAGATGGAATTTTAGCTCCATTTCTGCATTTAAAGTCAAATGGATTGAAGATGTATACTTCTAAAATATGAACAGGTCATGATATAGTGACTTGTATAAATCGTCATGATATAGTGGAAATTCTATTACTTCCAAATGTTGTATGAGCCCCAATTCAGACATTGGCAAGTAGGCATATAGCCAGTCAGATGGTTAAAGCTGTTGCTTGTGATCATCAGTGATCACCTGTTCAGAGGAAAGGGGGAAGATTATTATTGGGTACTTCATACCCAGACTGGCTTTGTTTTTTGTTTAGAGCAAAGGGAATCACTTGCCATTCAGTCACCATCTTGCCTCAAGCTTATTAGTTTCACATTGGCTTGTTTCAAACAAGCTATGTTTTGTCAGTTGCAACAAGGAAACAAGCTGTAGGTAAGCAAAAATGGAAATGAAATGTTCCACATTCTACCTCATAGCTGTTTGGAAGAGGAGACCAGTTTGTTCTGACCACACTAAACTGTGGTATAGGGTGATGTCTGAATATGGCCAGTGGGAAACAGCAAAAACCTCAGTATTTTTAAGTGATCAAGTACTCATCTGTGCCATAGGCTTACTGCTTTATGGTTTTGTTTTGTTTTTTAGACAAAGCTTATGCCTGTACAGGGTAGTGTTTACTTCCCACACATAAAGTCTCAACTTCATTAATAGTAGTTTACAGTGTTTCATTGTTTAATGTGGTATGTAACTGAGAGGCTTCTCACTAACTCTACAATTGAATGAACTGGAGAAATGACAGCAACCAGAAGTTTCCTAAAGTGAATAGAGGATAGGTTTTTGCTCTTCTCCCCTACATGTTTCTTTTAGTGTAAATTGCCCCAGAGCCAGTAGTAGAAAGCCAAACAGCAAGCATGTATTTAATAAGCACACGTTTAATTTGGCCCCGGAAGTTCTGTATGTCTTACCACTCAGCTATACATGTATCATTAAAAAACAATTTTTAGTAGAAACGGGAGTGGATGAATGTACTGTTCATGTTTTTCTCATAGCTTGTGGCATATTGCAGCTGGGGTTGGGGCAGGATCATTTAAGGCAATTCCCAGAAGTGCAGACAAGTTAGTCTGTTGTAGCAAAAACTACAGGGCCACAAGGCACTTTAAATCAATATATGTATGGCATAAGGTTTCACGGACTAGTCAACGTAGTGTTATGAGTTAGAGGTCAGAGAAAAATATATGACAAAGAGCCCGGTTTTATTTCTACCCAATTATGTATATCCCTGTATCTGTTGACCAATCCCATTTATTTGGGATAAAATATGTTTAAAAATTATAACACGTCTAACCATTTAATATTATATAGTTAGATACCGTCTTCTTTTGATTTTAGCTATTACAGTAATGATGACCCCGGTTTACAACCTTTTGTGCTTCCGTGTACTTCATCACAATACTTTATTGAAAGCTGCTACAAAAGCAGGCAAGTTAATTTTACTCTTTATAGTTTGGATTCAGAATTATGTTCCTGAAGGGTGAATGTTGGCATGTCCGACTGGGCTTTAGTCAGCCTCAGAGCTCCTTCCCCTAGGGTCAAAAGAGAGGCAAGGCCTCCGAGAGGCGGATCTGCTGCCCACTCCCCACTGCAGCAGACACTACTGATGTCAGAGCTCTACTGGTAGGCCTCAAAAGGAGTATTATTAAAAGTAGATGCAGTGAAGGAGACATACCCAGACCTGCAACATGGACCCTACACTAGGGAGAAAACTATGGCAGCAAACCTGTAAAGGGTGGAGGAGGGCTGCTTCATCCTTACTTTCTCCCTGCCAGTGACAGCCCAGCAGGGCACTGGGTGAAATTGCCACCTTTCATTTCCTCTCCTATGTCTTTAAGATTGTGCCTTAAAATGACTTGACACTAGTAAAGAACGTGGTGTGCTGGTGATATGCTCTTTGTGAACCTTGGGCCATAAAAACCACCCTCACAGCACTATGTGAAAAGTAAGTGATGCCAGGATGGTCTTACTGTAAAACCTATTGCTGTCTGAGATACTGCTTTTTTTTTCTTCTCCTGCAGGGGAGATACAGCCATGGGGGATGCTTATAAAAGAGGGTCATTTACTTGGAAACCAGGCCCTCTGAAGACATCCGGTATGCATGGTGGAGCTGGAGAATTAGGTGCTGTAAGGTAAAGCAGTATGAGTGGACCAGGTCTTTCATGAAAAACAATGTTGGGAGTTACTTTAATTTATATATTTAATTCTGTCTCTTCACCAGACTGTTTTCTAAATGTTTATTCCTGACACAACATAATAGCGAAAGAGGGAAACATGACTTGATCAAATTCATGAAAATAAAGTGAATATTTATTTTAACCACCTTTAACTGTCCCGAAATGGTGTGTTTGGCAGACTAGTCAACCTGCTTGCCTTCAGCAAGGTTACTGCATGATGTGCCCTTCACCATGTCTTGGGACCTTACTGGGGGACACAGGAAGTGGAGAGGCAAAGATCAAAACTCACTTAGACCTGGGGCAGTTCCAGACTGTTGCTATATTGTGGGTGGGATTGAACTGGGCACCGGATAGTTAAGCAGCTTCCACATTTTAGCCTGGTCCATCCCCTTGATAGTCTCTGGACTCAGCCAAGGGGTTCTTTTGTTGTGATGCTGGGAAACATCACCCCCTTGCCAAAGGCTCATATGTACAGTGGTACCTCGGGTTACATACGCTTCAGGTTACAGACTCCGCTAACCCAGAAATAGTATCTTGGGTTAAGAACTTTGTTTCAGGAGGAGAACAGAAATCGTGCTCCAGCGGTGTGACACCAGCAGAAGGCCCCATTAGCTAAAGTGGTGCTTCAGGTTAAGAACAGTTTCATGTTAAGAACAGACCTCCGGAACAAATTACTTAACCCGAGGTACCACTGTACACCCACAAAGGGGCAGAGGAAGGTAAAAAAAAGCAGAGATTTAGAATAAGCAGAGCTGGTGTCATCTCGTTTCCTGAAGCTAGGCAGAGCCACAATGAGGAAGGAGAGCTCTCCCATGTAGCAAAGGCTTGTGTAAAGTTGCAGTATTTGCCTACTTGAGCTGGTGGAAAGAGTTACGAGTTAATACTTTTCTCTGCTGGAGGAAAATGTTATGACAATTGTAACAGTATGATTCAGAAGCAGTTCCTATGCAAGTTTTATTTCCCAGCAATGGTTGCTGTCCTATAGCCGCTCAATTCAACTCTATGAACCCGATTTCTTAGTATTCATTTATAGGTCTGCCCTGTTAATATTTACCTAAATCCCCATGCATATTAGTCCTTTCAGTACAAAGGTTTTGATACTTGTTGAGTAATACTAGGAATCTGGATGGAGATTCCTAAAGAAATACATTTTGATGTAGGAATACTTATATGGCATTGATCAGCGTGTTTTTTCATCTCAGCACACCGCTGGGAAATTACACCACTGCAAGTCACCTTGAATGCCATAGTCCATAAATATAACATTCTATAAATAGTATGTTCTTGTGCAAATGTTTGTAGGTTGAAGAAGTATAATCGGTGTTCCAGCCTAATTTCATTTCCAGAAGGATCCAAATTCAAGCCTGGTAATATATAGTACCTAATATATTTAATTTCCTACCATCTGTCTTTACCAAGATGCATTTCCTAGGCAAACTCATTTTCTCACTGCTTTACTATGTGAACTTTCTTGCATTTTGAATATTGTTGCTGTTATAAAAATGTTTATTGAAGGCTTTGTTTTCGTATGTACCTAAGGGACAGCATTTCTAGTCGTGTTTGTAAAATGTTTCAAAGGCTTAATTCAGCTAATTAACAAAAGGCAATTACTGATACAAGCTACTAGTTATTCTAGATTTATTCTAGAGTTGTTTTGGAATGAAAATACATTGGGTCATATTGCATTTTTATGGTCACAAATGTAATTTTTCTACTTTGATGCATACCTTGCTCAAAAGATTGCTTAGGAAAATAATAAACTAAATGGATAACATAAAATGCTAATATAGCAAGAAAAATGGGAATCTGTTTAGTTTTTTTTAAATCCTAGGTATCTGTACTTCAAATTGATTTTTTTATGAACCTATATAAAATCATAGGCCTCTCTAAAAAGCATGGTCAGACTAATGCATAATGGGCCAGGTTTATGAACACTATGTACCCCTTTTTACTGCCTTTGACAATCTCTCAGATAACCATTACAACTTGTTTCTATTTTAAGGAATGGGGTGATTTTATTCCCTTTCACTGGTTTTTGATGTATTTTGTATAATTCTGTTTTAAGTACTTCCATAAGAGGGGCACATTATACTTTGTACACACTACTAATCAAGGGGAGTTTCGTTTTTTCTTCTAGGTTACCGTTTCACAGACCCTGTCACTGGAGCTCCTCCTCAGTTCCTCCAGCGGCTTTCTCAACTGGCTGCATTGGAATGTGAAACCATACATCAAGAGAGAACAAGAAGACTCAGGAAGGCCAAGAGACAGATGATGTAAACAACGTACCAGGAAAGGAACAGGCTCCTTTGAAATCATGTAAAGTTACTATTTTCTTGTTCACGTCTATCTAATTCTTTCACAAATACTACGTTGATCAACAAACCTCACAATTAAGGGGAAATATGTGATTAATAAAGCTTTTTTATGTTTGTAATTGCCATTGTAAAGTTTTTGAACTGCATCTAATGCTGTAGATGCAGTAGCAGGTCAGCCTCCCCTCCCCCAAAATAGTGATAGAAAAGTCAAGAGTTGGAAGGGAACCCTGAGGATCATCTTGTCCAATCCCCTCTAATGCAGGAATCTCAGCTAAAGCTTATGTCAATGACAAACACCCAACCTCTGTCTAAAAACCTCCAACGAAGCAAGAGTCCTTTTGTTATTGAAAGAAAATGCTGTTTGACTTATCCTGTTAGCCTGCCTGCCGTTAGCATGTTACTGGGTTTGGGTTGCTTAACTTCTTAGCCCTTTGCTATCCCCAGGATAGGCTGTGATTTATTTCATCAAATTTATATACTGCTTTACAGGTTTCCTTAAAAAAAATAAAAATCAAAACCCCAAAGCAGTTTACAAAAACAATTTATCAGTAAAATGAATTAACAGTAATTTGAAATGTTAAAATAACTGACTAAAGGCAGATTAACACTGACATCAGCTTTCTAAACAATTTTTTTAATAGCAGGTGCTGACACCACAAGCTGCTGTGTGGATTTCCACCAGCACCTCTCTTTCCCAGGGCCCATTTCATGTTCTATCTGAAGAGGACAAGGGTGATCATCATAGCTCCTTTTCTGAACCAAGCATCTGCCTAGTCTTCTGACTGGCAAGGTCATTAACACCTTGTTGTCAGACAGACCTTCAGCTAACAGGATCTTTGAGCAAACTACTCAGGACTGGCTTGTGTAGGTTAACCATAGCTTAGATTTCTCAGTAACATAACTTACTGTTTGTGGCTACCTAGAATTAAAAGGATTGCAGAAGTCCTCTGACTGCCAGTCAATTTCAGAGCAAGGAAGAACAGCACAATTTCACAGAAGATTTTTTTTATTAACAATGCATAGAGATGTCATCTGCTAGGCCCCTAGAAGAGAAGACAAACTAAGATTAGAAACATTTCAATTGGTGAATATTTTTCTGAGAATTTCAAGTTGGGCTGACAGCGCACATTTCAGTGTTTTACTTGCCTTTATGTGCACACAAAAATCACTTTCAACCAAAAAGCTACTTATCTGGCTGCCTGTGGTGACTAAAAATAGTAATTTCCTATAGCCAGCTCGGTATACTACAGTAATTAATTATTACTCTAAAACACACAAGCAGTGCATAACCTAAAGTGCAGTCTAAAGTCCATCTTAACCAACCACCCAAATGATTTAAAATAGCACAAATAGAGCAATGGGGGCATAATTTGTTCTCTGAATAACAGCTTATATATGGCTTAACATAACAATGAGTTCCGAATACAAAGGGAAGTAACAAAACTGCAATTCTACAGCTAGACAAACTGCCATCCACACCCACATTTGCTTACATTTCCCCCTACAAACCCCACACCTAAAGAACTTTAAAATGTCACATGTTCCAGAAAATCAAGTTAAAGATTGTATAGCTTTATTGTATTTCTAATCCTGCACATTGGGGCAGTTTGGTCTAAATAGTTTAGTTTGTTGTATCGCAATATACTACTTTATCCTGTGGAAGGCATGGTCACGGTATACTCACATGCACACAGAAAGACATACACAAGTTCCTCCCCCATCTTCTGCTGATCTTTGCAATGTTGGACTGAGATGCCATTGCATTTCCTAGCTAGGAGAAGGGCAAGGAAAGCCCTCTTACTTGATTTACAAAGGCACTTCCACCTCTGGCAGGGTGTCATCCCTAGAAAGTCTTAGTGTGCACAAAACAGGAAGGAACCTTAAGATGTCATAGCTATGGTATTGTGGCTGAGAGAGAAGTGCCTTTGCAAGCTAAGACTGTGGATTCACTACCTCTAATCCGTAAAGGTATAAGGAGCTCCTTTAGGAAGCAATACAATTAACATGTGATGCTCAGTTTCCCACCTGGGAACTGACCATGACAAGATCTGCTTAACTTTGTCAATGAATTCCCAAGACTCCATGATTCCACATGAAGAAAATATTCTACAACCAGAAGCCTATATCCCTTGTGCAAGGTGGATATGTGTACAAAAACAAACAAACCAATGGTTATTTTCTGTACACACCCTTGAAAAACTTAAGATGTGTGAAGGAAACCCTCACTACAAGTTTGTATTTTAGTGTTCTCCAGCCCAGCATACCATTAATTCATCCTCCTTATGAGCCGGTTAATCTGGTCTTCCCTGTTTCCTGCATCACCACCTTCTACAAAGTGAATGGTTTTCTTCTTCATTCCACCCCGTGGAGAAGACAGCTTGAATGGCCAGAGAAAGTTGTTTGCTGCTTTGAAGTTTTTGCCAACAGTATAGATTTCATGGATCAGATCCTCCATGCAAATGATGCCGTGTTTTCCTAAAAGCAGAGTTAGAAAAGGTTCAGAGTACAAAGTGCCTTCCCATTCATTGATTGTTGCAATCACCCTGTGGGTAGCTGAGAGAATGCAATTTGCCAAGTCACCCAAATGAGAGCATCGCAACCAAAAAGGAACTGGGACATGGGAAATGTATAGCACTATACACTGCACGTCCAACAGAATGGGCACATTTTGTCACTACTGTAAAGCCAAAATGTCCGTCACTCAAATAGTATAACTTGATAGTGGCACTCTGAAGAGTCTACTTGTATTTGTTTGACATTAACTTTTTTCTATTTTGATGTTGACTTCTAACGCTAAACCACAATCTTATTAGGCAAGAGCTGGTATAGTGTAATATTGTGGCTAGACATAAAAACCAATGTGTTAGGTTCAAATCTCAGCTCACAAACTAGACAGCCTTCAGCAAGCCACTACCTCATTACTCCATCTTGCAAAAATGGCATAATACTGGCACACGGTTAGAGAAAAGTTCTAACTGAGAACATCAGTGAAATACTTTCTATGTAAATGCAAAATGTTATGCTCAAGTTGGCCAGCAGGACTGCAAAGAATACTTGTCTCAGACGATACAAGAATGCAATAAGCTTGCAGATGTAGCAATACACTAAAATAATCCAGTACAAGTTGTCATAAGTTTACTTACCCAGGCATCTTTTGATGAGAGAGTTATCTGTCAAAGCAATGCGCTGCTTGTTGATCTTCCCATAACCACGCTTGTAGATCAACTCATGCACAGATTTCAAGTTGGGGTAACTGGAACAAAAGATAAGACATGACAACAGCACTTCTAACTTAGTAACATAATGAAAACCAGCTGCTTGAATTTCTAAGTTAAAAATATAAAAATGTGTATGCCAAATGCATGAGTTCACTGGCAATATTGTGTCCTCAACACCATGCTGTTTGTCCATTCAGTACACATCTATTTACCACAGCCAACTAATTTCTAAAATTAAGTAGCTGTATCCAGACATAAGCTTTTGGGTTTGAATGCTGGGAACATAACTACTCTCACAAGGAATGAAAATTAGCATGGACAACTTCTGGCACACAGTGGAATATTGCATTGGACAAGGAAGAGGAGGGGGTTGGGGGGATCATTTTTAGCATAAGCAGGAAGGAAATCTGCTTGGAACATATTTATGACAGAGAGATGGAAGGGGAGAAATAATGGCTTATATTATGTGTCTTTTAACTAAATTTCTACCATCGTCTTCTATTGCAATCACAATACAAAGCACAACGTACAATATTTAAGTTAGAGTCATAATTGGAAGGTGAAGGTAAAGGGACCCCTGACCATTAGGTCCAGTTGCGGACAACTCGGGGGTTGCAGCACTCATCTCGCTTTATTGGCCGAGGGAGCCGGCGTACAGCTTCTGGGTCATGTGGCCAGCATGACTAAGCCGCTTCTGGCGAAACCAGAGCAGCGCACGGAAACACCGTTTACCTTCCCGCCGGAGTGGTACCTATTTTTATCTACTTGCATTTTGATGTGCTTTCGAACTGCTAGGTGGGCAGAAGCAGGAACCGAACAATGGGAGCTCACCCTGTTGCAGGGATTCAAACCGCCTACCTTCTAATCAGCAAGCCCTAGGCTCTGTGGTTTAACCCACAGCGCCACCCGTGTCCCTTCATAATTGGAAAACGCACATTAAAGATCTGACACAAACATAGGTCAGTAAAATACAAGCATGAAGTAGAGAAAAAGCATCCAACACAAGTCTACTATAACCACATTAAGATAACTTAGCCCTGCAAGCCGAAAGCTTGCCAGATCAAAAATGTTTTCAATAAATGACATATGGTGGGTTTTCGGGGGGGGGGGGCCTTATTGAGGCAGGGATTTCTGCATTCTCAACAGAAGGGATAGAAGATGTCCCAACCAACTATGCTTCTACTACCATTAGAATGCACAGAAGATCCTGTGTGAATCCTTAAAAGGCAGGCTTATATTGGAGGAGAGCTACTACAGGTACCCTGGAGGCAAATCTTTTGGCCCAGAATTTGTTGCTGGGAACTACTACCACTTTCAGGACCATAGGAATTATTCACTATTTTAATACAACACTTTCTCAAATAGGAGTGATACTTCTAACTGTACAATCACATTGAATTTTGTTGTTCAGCAAGAACTAGAGTATGGTTTCCTATATAGAAATGCTACACTGGAAGTTTTCATCAGCAAGAAAAAGTATCATTTACCAACCTATACTCTAGTCCATAGCCCTTTGGATAACATAGGCCAGAAAGAGCCAACACCTGTATTATCATGAATTACTGTACTTCTCCAAACATTAGTCCAGAGATAAAACTATCTAGCCCCTTATGTATTATAAAGATGAAGATATTATGGCAGTAGACTCGTCTGAAGGTATCAACTTGGAGAAGATAACAAAGGTAGTTCCTCAAACAAAAATCCTTTCACAGGATTACTAGCAGTAAACTTTGCAATTCCAGACGTTACAAAGTAGCTAAAGTTCCAGCCCAAAAAGGCTTAGTCTAAAATGTGACAAGAGGGAAAAGAGGCATGAAAGAACTTTGGTAAACGGAAGAAGGTACAGTGGACCCTCTGGATATGAATTTAATTCGTTCTGAGGGCCATGCACACTCAGAAAAATCTGTATCCAGAGGAGCCACTTCTGCACATGCGGCGAAACCTGGAAAAATACTTCCAGGTTTGTCGCTTTCACAACCCAAAGTTTATGCTACTCAAGAGTAATGTAACCCAAGGGTCTACTGTACATTTATTTCTGTTACACATTCTGTACGGTATACAAAATAGTAATATGAAATGCACATGAAAACTTTTTGCACACAAGTGAAACTGCAAAGAAATACCTCTTGTGGGACATTAGCTGGTCATACATGGGCTACACTATGGATCAGTGTATTTTTAAAAATGCTGCCAACCTCATGCTTCAACCTTCTAAATATGTATGATGCAATGCTCAGTCTGCGATTGCAGCGCAGAGTAGAACTTTCTGCTCTGGAGCAGAGGTAGAGACCACTTCGTCCAATGCAGACAAGCAGAAGGCAACATATATAGGGAACAATATACACCACTAAATTTAAGATTCAACTTACCCCCATGCAATGTAAGGTTCAACAATCCTCAGCATGTTAATGGATGCTTTGTTGAGTTTCACAAATGTGCCATTGAAAATTTGACGCAGGCGAAGAAGCTGCAGTACCTTGCGAACCTTGGGACTAACGCCATTAATTCTAAAAGTGTAGTAAAACATGTTTCTTTTCAGTACGGTCTCCAAACAGATTTAACTACCAGCTACTTCCAATGAAAGCTTTCATCATATTAGTAAAACATGTTAACACTCCAGATAGCTGAACTTACATTACAATTAACATACCAATGACATTTATTTTTAATGGATAGTATTAAAGATAATTTTGCCCCCCACACAAACAGTCCACTAAAGGATTAAAAAAACCTACCAAAACACAGTCCTTGCCCACTTCAAAATAGGGAGCATTTAGAAAAAGTGGCAACTGTTATGCAATCCAAGATAAGCAAGAAGCCTTCATTGTGGTAGTAACCTATACAAATGATTCCCCCCACCCACCCCAGAATTTCCATGGAGCAAACTGTACCACCTTTCATTTTTCAGGCGAAGACATGTTTATTCTTCTTACACTTCATTTTTTAGGTCAAGACATGTTTATTCTTCATACTCTTCCATCTGTTTTATCGCTACTCCTCTGCCATTGTGGCTCAGCTGTGCTCATATTCACAGAAAGCTACTATTGTTGGTAGCAAACTAAACCCAAACGAGGTATTTGGGGGGGGGGCAGAACACTGGCAGCTTTTGAGCACCGGGATCTAAATATGCAAAATACCATTATTTTAAATGCTACTTTGGATGCTATTAATTAACTATTTTATTATGTTATTTTATTAGTAATCACCAATTTTTAGACAGTCTGAAGGCCTTCAGGGAGAAATCAAAATAAATTAAGTGACTAAATTACACCTAGACCAGGGGTCAGCAACCCGTGGCTCCGGAGCCGCATGTGGCTCTTTTACACCTTTGCCGCGGCTCCGGGGCGGATACTAGCGAGGGGAGGAGGTGCACTGTGTGCCCCGACACTCCCCACTGTTTTAAATGTCGCAATGGTTTTGCGGCTCCCAGTTTCTTCTTCTTCGGTCCAAGTGGCTCTTTTTGTCTTAAAGGTTGCAGACCCCTGACCTAGACCATAAGCAGAACAAAGCACTCATGCATTTTTAACTCAAAATGAAGTCCGAGTGTGCTCAGTGGAGCTTTCCTCATTATACTGAAACTGGTGGGATATTACTTAAAAATGCAAAGCAAAAAGTTATGCTCTTTCACTTTGAAATCAATTAGGCTTTAACACTGATATAAGGCTGAAAGCCTTGCTCTGCATTAGGCCCAACGTGTATAATTTGAATGTTAAGTAAAATTATATTTAATCATTCATGTATTAAATTAATATACCACCCTTCATCCAAAGATTTCATGGTTGTTCACAAGATAAAAATACAGGATAAAAGCACAAATATTTGGAACAAAAAACCACTATCACCCCCTCCCCCAAACACATTTAAAATATTTTTATTTTATTTATTCTGAAACCTGGACTTCATGGAACCTCATGGAACAGCTTTAGAACCGTTTTTAACCAAGGGTAATCTGAATAAAGAGGCTTCAACACAAGTTATTTTTGAATTATCTCATAAAGGACAGTGCTGCTGCAAAGGCTTAGGTCATAAAAAGGATTACCCCTCAAACAGCTGCAACCCCCAGCACCCTTAACAAACTACAGTTCCCAGGATTCTTTGGGGAAGTCTTGTTCCTTACATATACAGTGTGGGTGTGAGATCAACTGCTGTTAATTTATGGGTTAGCACAACACATTTGTTCATCTTACCCTCTGATCCTGATCACAAATGCCAGTTTGGGTTCAGCAGGTACATAGTAATTGCCAGCTTTGCGAGCCATGCGGGCCATGCGAATTTCACGCCGGTACATCTGCCTGTACTCTTTGTGGTATAACTCAGCCCTTTTATAGATTAATTTTCGTTCAGCAATTCGCAACTGAAAACAGAAGAGAATTTTATTACATTTCATAAGTAAATATATGCACATTTATTGCATCTTTATCTCTGTCTTCCATCAGGGTATCAGGACAACATACATCATTCTCCCTCATTTATTTAGTACGTTTATATCATGGCTTTCTTCCATCATGGAATTTTAAGTTTTTTCCAAGTGGTCTCTTATCCAGGCACTGACCAGCTCGAGACCCGCTTAGCTTCAGCAGTTATCTGCATCAGATACCCTCATCATGCAACCCAGAGCTTTCCAAACTTTTCATGTAGGTGACACACTTTTTAGACATGCATCATTTCACGACACAGCAATTCAGTTTTACTAACAAACCAGGGGTTAAACTAACCCCTTTCCAGTGCAGAGAACGTTTGCACAACAAACCTACACACTGCAATCGACACACTAATGTGTCGTGACACACAGTTTGGAAAGCTCTGATGTAACCTCACTGAAAGTAGCCTAGTGAGCTTCATAACTGAGTAGGGATTTGAACCTGGATCTTTAAGTCCTAGTCTGACACTCTAACTACAATTCTACACTGGTCCTTACCTTTATTAACCTGAAATAGCGCAAAGGTGGGCGGAGTACTATAGTTATCAAATAGTTTGTTTTTTGTGTGATCAGCCTATGCTGGAAATGCTGGGTGCACACATGCACATACATAGTTTTGATGGTGCTTGCTTGGAATGAATGCTTACTTGCCTTTCTTTTTTAAAGAAGAGGGGAGCAAGGTCCCAGCCTTGATAGAGCAAAGGCTGGGGGAGGTGAGTTTTGTAACTGAATGGTTAAGGCAAGGAACCCCTTCAATGAGATGCAAGAAGAGAATGGATAAAGGGCATTTGGTTAAGAGGTTTATAATCTCTATAATGAAAAGGGTCACTGATAACCATCTCACTAATATATGTGAAAGATGTTGAATATGTTAGGGAAAGGTGGCTCTGGTGCCAGCGCTGCGGCTGCTCATGGGAAAGAATAAGTCAGAATGAGGACAATATTGTTTCTACATATACACTAAGCAGTGGAGAATATAAAAAACTAATTTTTGATCCATATATTACAAGCCTTTTGCAGGCAGATCAATCTGCCTACTAATTTTATAGAGCCACAAAAAGTTAACAGGCCAACTACCTAAGTTGTCACACACAAAAATCCAATTTTGCAGCTTAATGGTATCCCCTCTTAACATACGACATGGAACATTGTTACAGTATCAAGGCAAAACAAGCCACTTCCATCAAATTGCATCTAGCACAACTCCATTAATAAAAGCTGCATGTAATCCTGCATATACTAGGAATATGCTCCACTAAACACAATAGGGCTTATTTCTGAGTAACATGCATATGGACAAGACTGTTAAGTTATATTCACCTTCTTTTGGACCAACAGCTTTTTCAGACGTTTGGCCTTCATATCAGCAAAAGCCTTCCTTTTCTTCAAAAGGCTCTCGGGAACCGAAGGCAACTTCTTCTTCGCTCTGCATTAGAAAGCAAAAGACATATACATCTGAATATGGATGTTTCTTCTCATACATACTGCACACAAAAAGAAACAACCTAATAGCCATACAATATCTTTTTAGACTTGTTAGTAGAAAACTATTGCAGCTATAGAACACTGCATATTAACCAGATTACTTTATTAAAACTTTTCTCTCCAGAGATAGGTTTATTGCTTTCCTGAATTTCCAGATATTGAGCAGTTTTGATTTCCTAAGATATAGCTATGTGAAACTCATTGTTACCACTGTTGGTAGTTATAAACATGTTTAACAAAGCAGTGGCCTGCAAAGCTGGAGTGGTTTTTTTGGAGATTTACAAATTACCTTAAAATCCCAAATTGTAATGCTGGTATTTTAAAAACAAAACTACTTGCACCCCACTCCTGGAAAAAAAGTTTCTATAAAAATAATTCTAGTGTAATCTTAGGGCCATGGGTTCGAGCCCCATGTTGGGCAGAAGATTCCTGCCTTGCAGGGGGGTTGGACTAGATGACCCTCGGGAACCCTTCCAATACAACAAGCGTATGTTTGGTTATCGCGACTAACGATCGCGACAGCGGGTCAAAGCTTTTTTTTTCGGGCAAACTATGCAAGACAAATGCGGACGAACGCCGGCTCCCTCGGCCTGTAAAGCGAAATGAGCGCCGCAACCCCAGAGTCGCCTGCGACTGGTCTTAATTACCAGGGGTCCTTTACCTTTACGCAAGAAAAAGCGCTCAAAAATCCCCAAGTAGCCAAAGCTTCCGAATTTTCTGGCCTACCTCCACAAGCGGAGCTGAGCGCGTGTGCCGGAAGGCTACAGCTAGGCCTAACCACGCCACGCCAACGACCAGACCAGCACGGCCTGCATGAAGCGAGGGGACCAAGTGAGTCTGGAAGCTGCCAACGGCGGTCGCGGCCTTCCCGCTCATTCCCCAGAAATGAACCCCTCGCAACGCGCCCCACTGCAACAGGGAGGGACACTTCCTAGTTCCCAGCCGCATCCCTCTGAATGAACCCCTCCGTCTCCCGAGAAAACACTCGCTAAGAAGGCTCAGCAAAAGCCTCTTCAGAATACGGAGCCCTCAGCGGCGAAGGCCGAGATACAAAACCCAGGAAACGCTTTCTTGATATCGCGGATGGCAACGGATTGCACCGAGGAAGAAAAAGCTACTCACTCTTCGCCCGCCATGGTCGCCGCCGGAAAAGAAAGAGTTGGCGCATGCGCGGCGAACTTGAAGACTCTTTCCGCCGCCTAGTGGAAGGGACCATTAAGCGCAAAGCCCCAGCTTTAGGTGTCTAACGCGATGCCTGTGCTGAAAAAGGAAGAGTGCCTATGTAAGAGCCGGAACTGTAGCACATGCGTAACTGTCATTAACTCCTTGATGCGGTGAATATCCAGGTGTTCGGGGGAATGAGAAAATAAGGCAAGACACACCAGATAAAGGTTTTTCCAAGCAGTGCATTTTGATGAGTGTTATATTCAAGTCTGGTGTTAGGAACCAGCTTTTCGATATTGTTGGTAGACATACACGGAGTGGCGTCTTGAATTCTCAGATTCTGGGCGATTAAAAATAGTACGTTTTATATTATTTCTCTTGAAGTATATAAAGGGCATGTAGCCATGTATACTTTGCACAGCCATGCACATGGTTATTCTGTAGTTACTCCCAGTGAGGTGCATAGAATTTCAGCCTTGACATTAGAACACTCTACTTTCCCTGTTGCCCTGCGACCGCAAAACCCAGGGAAAGTATGTTCTGTATTGCCGGACCAACGCAGCAAGGTCCGCTGGGAGGCTGCCCCTCTGCCTCCCAGGAAGAACCTCATGGCAATGGGAGACCAATCTGGTCCTATCCATTGGCCAGTGAAGGAGCCCCAGCGCCAGTGTTTGCCTTCCTTCTCCTTCCCGATCCTTTTCCCCGTTTGTATCATGTGTCTTCGATTGTAGAACATTATAGGTGTTTTTAAGCGCTGATATGACTGAATAACATCGCTTCTTGCGTGAAAGTTGTACAGGACGTAAATTAAGATGGGCACTCCTATATACACTTTTCTGGGACTAAAGCCCCACTGAACACTTCTGAGTAAACGTGCGTTGGACTACAGCGTAAGCACAATGAAACTCGGAGCAAATTTAAAATTGATAGATGACAGGTTAAAACTACATCTCCCAGCATACATTGTCAAGTGGGGCGGGGCAAAATAAAAATTATTGCTTCAGTGCATCATGGGTTCTGTAGTCTTTGCCAGCTGTGCCTTAAGTCTAGACCTGCCGCTTTGCATTCTGGTGAATGTAGGCAATTTATATTAACTTCTCCCCTTTCTCCCCAAGAAATAGCTAAGCCTTAGTGGCCAGTGTGGCACGAATATATAGTTTCCTGCACGAAGCTCACTGTTTCCCAACGCTTAGGCTTCTACCCAGATACTTGGGAGTAAGAACACATAGGATTACTGTCACGCCACAAGTCAGCGAGCTGCGTCGGACTGCAGCCCCATCCTACGCTGTTAGGTGCACCTAAGTCCATTCAAATCAACGGGCTCAGTTAGGCTTGCCCAGTTTAGCGTTACAAGCTCTGTCTCCGAGGGTAACGGACTGTGGGCGAAGCCGCTCACATGAAGGTGAGCTGACAAAAGCTTGAAGCTGCAACCCTGTAGTCTGCCTAGGAGAAAGCACCAAAGAACTCAACGGGGACTTACTTCTGAGTAGGAAAAAAAAATCGCAGAGTGTACCAACACTTGTGTCCTGCATACTCAGCCCGCCCCCTTTCCATGTTTACGCTGCCATCGCTTTAAATGGGACTCTCTCCTTTTTATATATTAAAAAAAGTGTGCACATGAGCGCGACTCTCGGCAGCCTGTGCTTCCTGAAGGCCGTGGCACTCATGAACATGATTGTTTAGGAAAACAGAAAAGGGGCAGCAGAGGCGCAGTTCGCCCAGGGTGGGCGGGCCTAGCAGCGCGGGGAACAGTGCGCGCTGCTGCTGCTGCCGCCGCCGCCGCCGCGCTTGACTGCGCCGTCGTGGCCGGACTGGGCTCTCTGGTTAATAAAGGAGGGCGGCGCTGCTGGGCGGAAACGTGACGGGAACAGACGGGGGAAGGCCTAGGAATGCAAAGTGGGCGACGAGGAGGCGGGGCCGGGCTGGGAAGCGCGGATGATGGTGGGTTTGGGGGCGGGAGGGTTGGCGGAGGGGGGCCTGGTTTCCTCTCGCCGGGGCTATATAGAGCGCCGAGTGGTGGGAAAATGTTCACTTTCAGGGGCGAGGTGCTGAGCTTGGGCACAGCCGCAAGGCGGAGGGGACAGGTAGGGCTAAGGCGCGAGGAGCGTGAGAGGGGTAGTAGGAGCAGGAGCAGCAGCAGCCGCGGCCGCCTCACCGCTCAGCCTTTTCCGCGAGCTGGGAAGGTGGCAGCCGGACGCCCCTTCGCGTGAGTCCTGCGGGGCGTGTTTGTTCTGAGAGCGCGGAGGAAGCGCAGCAGGAGCCTCCGAGGGAAACTTGTTCCGTGCGCTGCTTTAACTTGCCGCTCGCGGTGGTCCCCTCAGGGTAGGAGGGCGCCGAGAGATTTGTCCTCCCTTTAGCGTGCCCGTAGCAAGAAATAGTGGCCACTGCCGCCGTCACCGAAGGCGTCTGAAAGAGCGAAGCCGGAGGCGGCCCTTGAGGTGCCCTTAGGAGGCTTGGCTGGTGCCTAAGCGCAGAGTTCCTGCCTTAAGCGCGGAAGCAGCTTGCGCGCTCCCTTCGCTGTCCGAGGAGGCAGAGAGCGGGCAGTTTCTCTGCGCTCCTGGCTATGCTCGGGCGCGCTGCCCCTCGCTGAATTGTCGAGGCGCGCGCGCTCTCCCGGCTTCTCCGCGCAGGGGGACTCCGAAGTAGCCTTTTTAGGGCGCCGCGAGCTGCTGCTGCTGCTCCTCAGTCGCCCGCTTCTCCTCCTCTCGCTGCTCCTCCCGGCTGCCCGACCCCCCTCCAAGGGAGCCGCCACCATGAACATCATCCTGGAGTTCTTCGTGGTTACCTTCAAGGTCCTCTGGGCGTTCGTGGTGGCCGCCGCCAAGTGGCTCATGCGGCCCAAGGAGAAGAGCGTGGCGGGGCAGGTGTGCCTCATCACCGGCGCAGGCAGTGGGCTGGGCCGCCTCTTCGCTCTGGAGTTTGCCCGCCGCCGGGCGCGCTTGGTGCTCTGGGACATCAACACGCAGAGCAACGAGGAGACGGCGGGCATGGTGCGGCACATCTACCGGGAGATCGCCGAGGAAGCCGTGGTCGCTGCACAGAAAGGTAACCGGGGACGGGGATGAGCTTGGGAAGCCCCGGGTTCTTAAAAGGCAAACAAGAGAAGCAAGCGCCACTTCCTTCTAGGAAAGAAAAGCAAGGGTTTTTTCTATCGATACTTAAAAAAAACAGCGCTCTCTCGCACGTGGTCTACTCGGGAGTAAGCCCCATTAAGTTCAGTGAGGTTTATTCCCAGGTAAGCGTGTAGGATTGCAGCCTTGGGTGCTTTACAATAAAGTGCAAGATTCGGAGAGAAGAGGGTATAGGAAAGAGAAAACATTTCAAGAGCAGCGGCAATAGTAGTAGCTGAAAATGTTACCTCCTGGATCGTTGCTCTTGTGCAGAGACCTCCTGCCGATACCTGGACAAAGTTCTAGATTAACTTTAAGGATCATTCTGCCCTCAGGGGGCAAGGGATGTCTTCTCTTTAACAGAAATATGGTGCTGCTCAGGGCAATAAGGCAGATTGTGGAGTTCTTTGATAGGATGCTTTTCTGGCACACGGATCTGTACATGGTTGGACGGGAAGAGAAAGAGACAACGGCTTGTACAGCTTGTAGTGTTCTCCAGAGTGACTTTACCTGCCTCTTTATCAAGGGTGGCTGAGTTGCAAACATTCGTAAGTCCTCCTATTGTGTGAAAAAGTGTTGGGTGGGGTTTTTTAACCATTTGGTCTTAGGGGAATACTCCATTCTTGCCACCCAAGAAGTTTTGGGAGGGATGCAGTGATTTATTTTTTTTACAGAGGCAGAGATTGGCACACTAAAGGCAATGACTGGTATTCAATTAACTTCTCCTTGGTGTAGACCCACTGAAATTAATGGGACTTAACTGAGTCATGTTGGTCCATTTCATTGAGTACTCCAAATACTGCACAACAGTTTCCTTGGATTCCAGAAATTCTAGGCAAGACTGAAATTGAGGAACTTTTCTTGCTTTGGTATGCTGGGCTGCAGCGGTTTGCAAATTTTAAATTGAATGTGCAGGTGCTAAAATAGGAATAAAAGCAAATGAGCCCTCGTTGACCATTTTCAGAAAATTGTGTAAAGGTCTGGCCACCTCATCTGAAATGCACAACCAAGAATCTGAAGAGGGGAGGATTAACCAAATGTTTACTAATAATATTGGAAGCTGCCTTTTGTCTATCTAGCTCAGTTTTGTCTATACTACCTGAAAGTGAGACTCCAGGGTTTCAGATGGGGGGGCATTCCCAATCCTACTTGGAGATGCCAGAGATTCAACTTGGGACTTTCTGCATGCAAAACATATGTTCTAACACTGAGTTGCTATGCTCTACCCGACTGTTGCCTATTCCTGGAACAGAAGAAGAGAAGGAAATAATTTATTCCAATGGAATTTAATATGGCCATTAAATGGAGAGCACCAAGTGGAGATAGCAAAGGAGGTCTGGGCGTATTTTGGATAGTCAACCAACTCAAAACAGTAAATCTTGTGGGTGGTGAAATGGGAATACTCTTTGCTGCCTATTGCACAGACATCCAGGTTGTGGGTTGTATGAGATGCAGTGTAATACACATGGAAAGCAATGGTCTGACATATTTGTGCTGCAACTCTCCAATGGTTTGACTTTACCCCTAGACTCTGTGACCTGGGAGTTAGTCCCATTGAACTCAGTGGAACTGGCTTTTGAGTATACTGTTTAGAATTGTAGTGTCACAAATGGCTTCACCAGTTTGTTTCACCACCATCATCATCATGCTTAATTTAGCTCATGTGCACCATTTGCACAAACCTATTAAATGGAATAGTTGGGTTTTTAAAAAAAACACACCAAAAAAATGAAAGTTTGCAGTCTTGTTCATATTTGAGAATAAGCCCTAAATCTACTGAACTCAGTAAGACTTATTTCTAAGTTAATACAACAGTCAAGCTGCGTGTTCCCATACCCTCAAATTTAAAAACTCCATCTGAAGTGGTTTGTGGATCAAGCTGTCCACTTATTTTCTGATATTTAAGCATTGCATGGTACCTGACAATAGTTTTCTTTCTTTCTTTTCTCTCCCCCTACCCCTTGCTTGTCTGGCTTCCTGTAAGTAGCTGGGCATGGTGAAGAAGTGGTACCTCACTACAACTTGCAAGTCCACACATATACTTGTGACGTGAGCAAAAGAGAGAACGTATACACAACTGCCGAGAGAGTTCGCAAAGAAGTTGGTGAAGTCTCAGTCCTTGTTAATAATGCTGGTGTGGTTTCTGGACACCATCTCCTGGAATGTCCCGATGAGCTTATTGAAAGGACCATGATGGTTAACTGCCATGCACACTTCTGGGTAAGTATATCTATTTATGTTACTACATTTGATATCTAGTCTGTCTGTTCCCTATAAAATGAAATCACAATTTGTTCAGGACAGCATTTGTTTTTGTGTGGCAGCACTGCATAATTTGGGCCTTCTGTTACTTTGCCCATCTTACTCACTGAGCCAGATCCTGAGAAAATTGTGTTCAACTAAAAACAACAATTGGGCAAGTTAGTCTCAACAAACTTTCACCCTGTTGATTTCATTGGGACCTGAATGTGGCTAACACTGTTTGGGTCAGAGTCCCTGGTATATAGAGATATCTGCTGGCCTTTTTGCCACACTGATTGAGTCGTTGGTCCACTGAGCCCAATGTTATCGCTTACAAATGGTAGCATCTGCTCAAAGTCCCATGCAGAAGCTTTTCCAACAGCAGAAGTCTTGGTTGTATTACTTTTCATACTAAGCTATGCAGCTTTCCCTTGATTCTTTTGGCTATCTTCTGTGGAACCATCGCTAATAGTCTTTGGTAGTCAACGTGGTGCCTTCCAGATGTTGTTGAACTCTTAGCTCCCATCAGCCCCAGCCTGCATGGTCAAAGGTTATGGAAGATGGGAGTTGTAGTCTATGGCAGCTGGACGGTACCACATTAAATAGTATGGTGTAAGATATCCACATAGAGTTTGAGCAAGTGCTGCTTTTGCTACCCGAAGTTCTTTTGTATGCATGTTGGGTTGGAATTAATTCACTGTATTCAATGAGACTTACTCTTAGGTAAGTGCATACAGGATTGCAGCCTAAAGAGTGGGACAATACAGTTATGCAGAGAATACTGCAAATTTTTCTCTCCTCTGTTTTCCTGGGAAGACTTGGACCAATGTTTATAAAGAGCGACTTTTTAAAGACTTTGCCTAAATACCAGGCTATATTCAGAAATATTTTCTTGAATTTCCTTCAAAATCCACTGCATAATATCCATTGTCAATTACAGCATTTATACTGTTGAAATACTCTGCAAACTCCATGTTACTGAGAGTTCTAAATATTTGCTGTGCCTATCTTAAGATAGGAGCGTAGAAGACTGGTTCATGACCCTTATGTCAAGCATTCCCTTTAGAACCATGCTGCATACTGTTCAGTGAGTAAAGCATGAATTGAAGGAAGATCCAGTTTCATCATATACTACTTGAACAATGCAGAAGATATTGGTTTAAATGTTTTACAATTAGAATGAGCCTGAGGGATTTTTCTGCAGAAATGAAATGCAAACACCCAGTTTATACTTGTAAAAACAGGGAACTTTGGTAACTGAGTAAATGCATGCTTGTGGCATAGCTGTAAAAATTTAGAGTTCTTGGAAGTGGTCACTTATGACATCATTGTCATTAAAATATGGGCGGATCCTAGCCTGCCCAGCTGCTCTTGCTTCAGGCATCTAATTCAACAATAACTTGCAACGTTATTGTGTATTCTAAGGATTCATTTAAAAATCCTAATTTAACAATGGAAACCTAATAATGCAGTGCTGTTCATGTCTATTGAAAAAGTAAGTCCCACTCTGTTCACTGGGGGAAACCAGAAAATGTTTCGCACCCCCTAAGGATTGCAGCCTTAGGTACGTTTTGAAAATCATTTTGATACTTAAGACATTTCAAGCTCTCTTTCCCTTTGAAGCACTGCTCTGGAGCTAACCCTTGTCATGTGGCTTGAACTTGACAGAGCTATTTCAGCTAAACAAGTCAATACCTTGTCATGCAGTGTTGTATAGTTTCAAGTAGCAACCCACAACCCTTTTCTCTGAATGCTTTTTATCAATAAATTATTCTCCGAGGTGGATGCTCAAGCTGTTCTTTTGTTTCCCAGACCTAGGTAACTGAATACATTTGCTAGTTTCCTAAATGTAGAACAATATAAACACAGGAAGAGAATGTTTAAATCATTAATTTCTGCAAATTAAGTAGCAAAAGAAATGGAAGAAGTAAAAATTGGGAAGAGCCTTTAGTAGGTACATTGGGGCTTCAAATTCAGTATACATACTTGGTATTTTACACTGGCTTTTCCAGTTGGTTGACCTTGGTGAAATTAAATAGTGTCCACTTGCTTCAGATTTCTGGATTCTGCTATAATGAAGAAAAGGCAAAGCTCTTTGAGGCATAATGAGGGAACAGCTGTCAAACACACACACACACACACACACACACACAGAGAGAGAGAGAGAGAGAGAGAGAGAGGTCTGAATCACCTCTGCAAGTGATAAGAAACAAACACTGCTTTTCTTGGGGAATGTGGTTCCAAACAGGATTGTTGTTGATCCAGAGAATAAACACTGTCAGTGCAACCAAATCAAGCCTTTTGAACAGCAATACTGCTTCACCTTCTATGTATACCAGTATGAATAATCTTTGCTAGAATTCTCTATCAATATCTCTTATAGTGCCAGCATGGTAGGAGATGGTGCAGGATTTCTTATTTGTTGTACTTCCAAGTAACATTAAACCATGGTTTAGTGCTACATACATGATGTCCTCCTCTGGCCGTGTTGTGATGCTTTGTTGAGAATATTATAAACTTGACCTGCCCATGGGAAAGTATGAGTGATCTGTTTGAATCCCACTTGGTATGCATCTAAGCTTGCTTACAGACTAATCCTAGGTATGACTACTGAAAAGTAAGTTCCACTTAATTCAATTCCTAGGATACAGTCCTATACACATTTTCCTACCTCCTTATGACAGTGTAAGCCCAAGGGTATGGGGTGTGATAGTTTTTGTGTTGTGTGTTGATCAGGAGATCATCAGCAGGGTAAACACTTATTGAAGTTATTGCCTGTTGTACTAATCTGGGTCTTGCACAGAGGCTGAATTACCCCCTCGATATTGTGATCAGCCCAGGTATCTCTTTGTACCTAAGGTGTTAGCTAAGTTCATTTGCTCCATATGAAAGAGAAAATGTTGCCGTGTTCAAGCCATATATTTGCAGGCTTATTTGGAACCAGTAACATGTCCAGATCTTGTTTTGGCTAGCCAACTTCTCAAGAAAAGTGGCAAAGTTTCCTTCATTGAACTAGGTTGGCAGGTGGTGTAGAACCTGCCTTATTTGATATGTGGGCAATTCAACAGACTTTGTATCTATTGTGTGTAGCAATGGGCTATGTCAAATTGCAGCATCTTCTCAAAAAGACAGACTTCCCAATAGAAGTCCTGCATTAGGTCTTTGACAACCATTGAAAATGAGGGCGCTTGTACAGTCTCCAGGAGTGTAGTCTCCAGGATTGGTGCAGAGTAGGCATGACATTCCTTGGCCACAAACCATGCCTAGCAGAAATGGTGTGTTGTAGACATGCCTGCTCCCTTCCTCTTACTTTTGGTCCTCCTCCTTTCTATGTTCTGTGTTGAATCTTTATCACTGTTAACCATGGCCAGTGCCACCTGGATTCCCTCATGCAAGGACATGCGGATTTGTAGCTCTTATTATGATGGCAATCCAAGTAATCATTAGTCATTGTTAGTACTGATATGTATACACCAGGCTACACCATGCTTTAGGGCTGGCCCACCCATGAAGGAAGCTGAGGCAACTGCCTTAGGCAGCAGGAGCCATAGGGCAGCAAATTCAAGGAAAGCATTCCCTGCTGCTGCTGCTGCTATGGTAGCAGCAAAATCTACAGCATACTCCTTGGAGGCCAACTCATCAGCCCTCCACCCCACATGCCACATCTACAATGGCTTCTTGGCAAATAGGAGTTGCTGCTGGTCTCCTCCCACCCTTGTTCTTGATGTAGATCTTCACTAGTCCCTTCTTCCCTGGCGAGGGGCGCCATTTTGTGGTTTGCCTCAGGTGCCAAAATGTCTTGGGCCAGCCCTTCTATACCTGAAGCAGAGTGTAGGAGAGAAGGGGCAATTCACATAGGAGAGAAGGCAGTGTGAGAATCGGTGGCACACTCCTGCTTTTTTTAATCTGTTTTATGGAAACACTTAAGCAGAGCTAAAAATAGCTTTGAGATGTCATGTATATATCTACCATATTTGGAGCCTGCACATTGGCTTTTTGCCTCCTCCAGAGCGAACTGAGGTGGTGCCAGGCAGTACAACATGCTTAATAGTACTATGGACTGTTCTGTGTATTTAGAAATACCTTACAATATTTTAGTACAACAGTTTGACTAAATGCAAAGGGGGGGGGCAGGTTCTGTGCAAAAATCTAAATATAGACCAACTGGCTTTTTAGCAGAGGGAGCTTGCTTGTGAGTACACCCTCAATATCTTTTAGACACTTTCATTAACCAGTGAACTTCAGTAAAATAACTACAGTTATTTTGGAAATGATTCTTGTTAAACCTGCGTTCTCCCTGTGTACTAGGGTTGCCATGTGTCCTTTTTTTCCAGGATGTGTCCTTTTTTCCCCACAGGTAAAATTTCTGTCCTGGCGGATTTTTTGAATTTGCCAAAATGTCCTCATGCTCGGGCATGCTGCCGGCTCCATGGTGTGCCCCCCCCAGCTACGCCTCTGCATAGGACCGTAAAAAGGATCCTGCAGGGTCAAACCATGGGGCTATCTAGGCCAGCATCTTCTGTCCCGCACCTCCCCCCCCCCCGCCCCAGACACTGGCAAATGTGTCCTCTTTTTTCCTCTTTGAATTATGGCAACCCTACTGTGTACTATCTTTCTCTCCCTTAACACACTGCATTTATTTAAATTGTAAGATAGTATGAGCCTGGGACAGTTTAAGCTTACCCAAAGATCTACATACAGTGGTTAAGAACTTAATTCGTTCTGGAGGTCCGTTCTTAACCTGAGGTACCACTTTAGCTAATGGGGCCTCCCGCTGCCGCTGCGCCGCCGGAGCACGATTTCTGTTCTCATCCTGAAGCAATATTACCCAAGGTACTATTTCTGGGTTAGCGGCGTCTGTAACCTGAAGCATCTATAACCCGAGGTACCACTGTATTTGTTAGCTACGTAACTTGCATGTTGCTTCCCCCCCCCAATCCCTTATCAAATGTATTATTTGATCCTTGGCTTAGCTTCCACTATTGTGTTGATCCTAAGATTTGGCATACACCAGCTGAAATAGGAAAGGAGGAGCATGAAAAAACACTCCTGTATAAGTTGCACTTGGAAGTATTTTGATAATTCTTGGTAGTTAGGTATGGGCGCCCAATATCCTAGAACCGTGATAGGTTAGCTGGAATACAAAGAACAGGAGTGGAAATAGAACTTCAAATGTATAACATTTCTACCTGTGAACAGGAAGAGGTTGGTGAGTTTAGCTTCTTCTGTCCTGTGCCTGCCCCGCCCTGTAGCCTGAAGGTCTTGGCTTCTGCTTACTACAAGTTGCTAAATACTTTTCAAAGCAAAGGAGGCTCCCCCCCCATACCTGGGTATCTCTTTATCCCTCTATCTAACTGTAATTCAAAATAATTTACACATGCCTAGGTACCGTTATATACCTGTTCAGGTTTCTGGGTCCTCCATCCTTCTGTTTCTGAAATTACTATCCTTCTGGAAAGGAACAAGAGAATTGCTTGATGGGGGAAATGCAGTGTTGGCTTCTTCATTGAAACAGAAGCCTCACACTGAACTCTACTGGCTTAGAATGAATGTTTAACCAGCTCAAGTTCATTTTCCTAGACCTTGGTTCCCTGGGAATGACACACCCACACACTCTGTTTCCTAACTTCCTTGGCACTCTATTCTTGTCTGTCCGTAGGTTCTAGACAATCCCTTCAGGCCAGAACTGTTTCTTCTGTGCTTACATACTATGTTTCCTTTAAAAAGGAGCAGTGTTTATTCATTTAATTGTTAATAACAGCTTGCCAAATTGTCTCTTGGGATTCATTCATGGATGATTACATACCATCTTCCATGCAGCACTCAAAGATCGGGCCGAAAGGGGGCAGATTTTCAGGTATTATAGGAAAGTAAAAAGGTTGAGCACAGCCACAAGCCGTAACCAACAACAAACATTTCTTGTTCTAGGATTTTAAGTGGTGCGCTCTTGCAACATAGAGATGAAGCTATTGCAACACTCAAGTTTGTTTAACTGGGCAGGGTGAAAGTAATGCACCTTTTAAATACCGGATTAGATCAAAAGTACCCCTCAATAAGCAGAGCTGCACAATTGGCAATATTCCATGATGGAGCTCTTGCTTGACAATAACATTTCCCGCTGCAAGTGAAGGAGCCTATGTTTATAGACAGATAAAGATATATCCTTGTCTTTGGCAACACTGCTTTCAGTTCACCTAACATTCAAGCTGTGGGTAAAACCTCAGTGCCTAGGGCTTGCTGATCGCACGGTCGGCGGTTCGAATCCCCGCGGCGGGGTGAGCTCCCGTCTTTCGGTCCCAGCTCCTGCCCACCTAGCAGTTCGAAAGCACCCGTAAGTGCAAGTAGATAAATAGGTACCACTTTATAGCGGGAAGGTAAACGGCGTTTCCGTGTGCTGCGCTGGTGCTGGCTCGCCAGAGCAGCTTCGTCACGCTGGCCACGTGACCCGGAAGTGTCTCCGGACAGCACTGGCTCCCGGCCTCTTAAGTGAGATGGGCGCACAACCCTAGAGTCGGACACGACTGGCCCGTACGGGCAGGGGTACCTTTACCTTTACCTTTAACATTCAAGCAAGATAAATTATCAGAGTTCAGGGACGCATTCCAGCAGCCAAAAACACTTGGGGCTGTGAAGCAGGGAGAGTAAGGAGGTGTGGTCTGGGGAGAGTTCTGAGGGCCAGGTAAGAGAGGACTGGAGGGTCGCATTTGGCCTCAGGGACTGAGGGCCCCCACCCTGCAACAAGAGCTTGAGCAGGTTCACACTTTTCATAGAATCATAGTAACATTGGAAGAGACCATGAGGCTCATCTAGCCTAAACAACTGCAATGCAGGAATCTTTTGCCCAACGTGGGGCACGAATTCACAGCCCTGAGATTAAGAGTCTCCTGCTCTACCCCAATAGAAACCCATTTTTTTAAATGCGGCAGCAGCAGTAGCATTTCCAGCTTTGTGCTATAAGGAAAAGTTTCTTCTTAAGAAAAGGCATTTTTTGCATGCAAATTTCTTATCCGTTTAAAAATGGGTTTCTACCTATGCAAAAAGGAACTTGCTCAGACCCTTTGGGCTAGTCAGAATCTAACACTGATAATGTGTACGCTGTAAAAACTGAGTATTGCCCCCTTCCTTTGTTTCCCATAATGGCTCATCACCCAGGCTATCACCTCAATGAAGGAAGCTAGCCTGGCTTATATTTTAATGCTTGCTAGATCCAGGGGTCAGAAGGGTCTAGGCAAACAGGTCTCTCCCCCCGCCCCGCCCCCGACTCAGAAGTACATACTGTGACCTAGTTTTGCACATAAAACTTAACTTTAAACCACGGCTTAGCATTAATGGATGGATGGGTTCTTGGAGAGGAGATTGTGGTCACTGCAGCTACAGAACAGTGCAGTTAAATAGGTTAAATGGTCCCATTATATCTAGCACTCTTAAGAAAACATGTTTATGTGGATGTGAGTGACGAAGAATAATGACACATGAGTTGGTGTCGGGGGGGGGGACAGTATAGATATTTGCATAATTCATTTATTTCATAACCAAATGTAAACGTGGCTCTGGGGCTAATCAAATGAAGTGAGGAATTCTCGCAAGTAGCAGTGGAATGCATTAGTAAGTGGGATTTAAGCTTGTGGTGCTAAGAAACTTCCAACGTATAATGAGCTGTGCAAAACAAAAGGTGACTCCTTTAATGGGGCTTGGCTGTTTAGATTCTATACCTAAAAATAAACTAACCTTTACAGGTTTTTCTTTCTTTGCTGTTCTTTTTTTTAAAAAGTGTGTGCCAACTGCTTTTGCTTCCTGATAATCCTGAATTAGGGTAGGCTGTGTGCGTCTGTCTTGAATAGACGAAATAGTAGTAAAGCAATGGCTAAACAATTTGGAGCTTGCCACTGACGTTAAATGTAATTGGTTTTATTTTATTCAGAGGCCAGAAATCTTAACACTTGATTGTGTACATAGGCAAGTTCTAAGCCTGCATCATGAAGTTTGCCAGTGTTCAAGACTTATCTGTCTGTCCCCAAGTCCTTGACCCAAATAATAGCATAGACCCAGATAATAGCCTTTTCAGGTAATCCTAGCATTTCTCAGAACCTTAACAGGGGGACCACTGAGTAATCGGTACCTTCCCCGGATATCTTGCCTCTCTCTGCCATTCTCCTCTTCCAGTGCTTCAGTGTAGAACAGGCATAGGCAAACTCGGCCCTCCAGATGTTTTGGGACTACAACTCCCATCATCCCTAGCTAACAGGACCAGTGGTCAGGGATGATGGGAACTGTAGTCTTAAAACAGCTGGAGGGCCGAGTTTCCCTTTGCCTGGTGTAGAAGACTATGTGTTCCAGGCCTCACCTTTGGCTTACATTGGACAAGAGTGAATTCCAACAGCCTGGCCAACAGAGTTGCACCTGAACAGAATACACCTTGGAGTCCTATGCAAAGCACAGGATGTTTATGGCAAGCACATCTATGTGAAAAGGGTTCCCTGGAGATCAGGGCTGGATTTAGGTTTGATGAGGCCCTAAGCTACTGAAGGTAATGGGGCCCTTTATATAGCAGGTGGGGCCCATTACTTATATCATAGGAAGCTACACAACACAAAACACTGTTGCTGTATGTAGGTTTTATTTTATTTGTTTTTGATCTTATATTTTGGAAATGTACATCCAGGTTTTTTTCCCCCTTTAAATTTTTTGAGGGCCCCTAAGAGAGTGGGGCCCTAAGCTATAGCTTGTTTAGCTTATACGTAAATCTGGCACTGCTGGAGATGGAAAGTTTTGAAAACCATTGGCGCATGCTATGGAAGTGGCAGCATCTGGCTGGGCTGAAAGAATGTATTGGGCAGCGCTGCAGTCTTCGTATTCTAGCCTTAGCCTAGTTCTTTGGCTAGGGTTTAACATTTCTGTGGCAGACAAATGGCTGTGACAATCAAAACCTGATTTGTTGACTCCTTAAGCCAATATTTGAACAACCCATTCCTACAGGGATAAACTTAGGACGTAACCCACTTCTTAGCCTACTCCCTAGAAACTCTGGAGATACCGTCCCAACTTCTGTGGTCTCATTAACAAGACGTGTGTTCCTTTCCCCCTCTCCTCTCTGCCCCACCTCATGTTTCCATAAATACCTTATTGGTGAATGTAGACTGACAGTTGCTGTTAACCTATGCATTTATTACTTTATTTACAGCACATTCTGCAGAAGCCTTCCCTTGGTAGGATATTATGCAAATGCAGGATATTATGTTTTATTATTTTGGGCTATTTACTAATCGTGGGTAGTGAAATGGAGGCCTGTGGGCCTGATCTGACCTGCTAAGCCTTCCCTAAATGGCCCACTGATCCCCCAACCCAACTTTGCAGCTTTGAAGAGCACCAGCAGGAACGGAACAATCTTCATCTTCATCATAGCGCTGGGCTGAGCACCTCTGCCCAGCACCACGGTGAGGATGCTGATCACTCTCCCCTGCTATTCTGATCTGCAGGGAGAGGATACAGTCTTCATGTCCCATGGAACCGGGTGTTGCTCAGCCCAGTGCCTTGTTGGGGATGCAGATTGGCAAGATTTTCCTCCTTTTCCCATTCAAACAGAGAGGGTGATATGAAGGAAAATTGCTTCCACCACCACCATGACAATGGGGTGGGGCAAATTTTCCTAAGAGAGACAAAGATGGCCACACCCACTTCAATTTTGCCACTTCTACCGCTGGGATATGACCCTTGGTGGGTTGGCCCACAATGAATACAACCTATGGACTGAAAAAGGTTAGACTTTCACAAGTAGGAGGATATCAGTGGGAAAGCCCTTTTAGCTCTTGGTTCAAAACTGAATGTGCTCCTAATATACACAGGAGTAGTTTACACTAATGTTGTCATCTTTGAAGGCTTGGTATTTCAAACAGCTCTTAGCAGTTACTGGGTGATTAAAGTCATGCTTGGAGCAGACCCAATGAAAACAGTGGGCTGACTTGCACCCATTGATTTCAATGGGTCTGCTTTGAATATGTCCAATATTGGATAATTGACTATTATTTATCATGGCAGTTTACAAAGAATGAGGGCAGGACCCTGCCCAAATAAGCTTACGCTCTTAAATTCTGACATGGGGAAGACAACATCAAAAAGGAAGCAGAGGCAGGTGTGTGTTCCCTTTGGCATCTCTTTGCATGCACGTCTAGGCCTCATGGTCAGAGAAGATTTTTGAAAGTGGGTAGCGCTATCTGCTGAATACTAAACCTTTATTAGCTCTTAAGGTAGGACTTTGGTGTACTCAGCAACTCTGTCCCTATTCATATTATCAAATGTGCATAGCTTGCTTTCTTCCAGCGGAGGACAAGTATCCTAGATCCTACAGAGCTCTATACAGATTAAACACATTTTCAGCACATTTTTAAGCAACTGTATTCAAGTTGTCTCAGTGGGGAACAGTTTGGTAAGTCATTTTGAATTCTACCTATCTGAGAGTAAGAGTAGCTGCCATGTGAAATTGAGGTAATTCCTTGTATGGCTGTCTAACCAGTTAAACCAGTTCTTTCATGATGTCAGGATGGTGCAAAGAAGCTGGTTAACAGGACAGAGCCAAGAGGATATGAAATTTTCATTGTCCCTCCCAACTGCTCCATTAAGTAGATTCCAGTGCTGCTATAGGGCACTACTTTTTAGCATCTTACCTGATGGGTTGGGGGGGGGGTTAGTCTGCAACACAATTCTAGTGCTACACACATTTTAGCACTGTTCAAACATTTGCTGTTCCATTCTTGCATTGTACTCTTGTGTGGGTGCTTTTAAAGTAGTTAACAAGCTTTCGTAATTCATATTTCTTGGTATTTTTGAGCTGTAAAATTTTGTCAGCTATTTTAAAATATTGTATGGTATCTTCCCAAGACTATAAAATAACAAGCAAATAATTCAGCTTCATAAACTTTTCTCCAAAAAGCCAATGGCTTTTATACACAAATTAAAGTTTGAACTTGTGTTTACTGATTGATTGATTGATTGATTGATTGATTGATTGGCTGCTGTGGTAGATGAACTTCCTTTGTTATATCCTCATAACCATAGGATTATAGACAACTTGGTTTCATTGTTCTTGTTGTGATCGTGTCCATAACGTTAATCTTAAAAATGGTAAAAAGTGGTTGCAGAATCACCTCTTGTAATCAGGATAGGAAACTTTCTAAAGGGTAATTTATGACTTCTGACTAATTCACACATTCCCACTAGAATATATCTAAATTGGTTCTGCCCCATATAGCAACTGCCTTTCTCTTCTAAATAAGAGCTAATCAACATGAATCAGAAACAAGTTACATGACTGAGGAGGGGACCACACTATGGAGTCTGCAATTTGAGGAGGTGGAAAAGCAATTCAGGCCCTAGAAGGCAAAGTTTCTTTGCATGTAGAAAACTAGTGTGTCAGAGGAGGGTTCCAGGATTAGCCCTCTCCCTGCTAGTTTTCTAAGTGTAGGGAGTTTCTACCTCGTCCCAAGGGATTATTCAAGCTGAACTGTATAGTATAGTCCAGGAAAAATGGAATCCTGCGATTCCATGGCTATTGGCTTCTATTGGGGACAAAATGTTTGTGCCAGATTTTAATAACTCTTCAGAGCATTGGGTGTAGAACTTTTGTTGTGGAGATAATGAAGATCCTGGAAAGAATTCAGATGAAACTGAGTTCAGATGTATTGCATTACTCCATGGTGTTATGGTTCAAGGAGCTGGAGGAAGAAGGCTACATGTGAAGCCATTTCTAGCAAAGCTTCATAAAAGGAACTTTTGTTACTAAAAGTACAGTACAGAGAGCAACTTTAATCGAGGTAGTTCTGAGTGGGTTTGTGGTATGGGAATTGGATCCAGACTTCATGAGTGCAGAACTTGAGTCACAGGATGTTCCTACCAGAGGGGTGATTTTTCAAGATTTCTCTTCCCTGCTGCAGCACTCTGTACTTCCCAAAAATCTGCTCTGGACTGTTGGAGGACCCTCTAGAATAGTGCAGCAAGGGAACAGGGAACTGGCAAATATCACTTCGTGTTCCCTTCGTCAAGTGAGAGCTTCTACTGGAACTTATTTTCTAAGGAGGGGAGAACAAGTCTGGGTCTCACCCCTTCTGTGTGAGAGAGGTTTCTTCAGTACATGAAGCCAGAAGAGCCCTATGATAGCAATCTGAGAACCAAACTGAAGCTAGGCAACCAATGGAGATTAACTGATTTAAATTTTGAATTGGGAACAATGACACCATGTCATTATATTACAACAATCTTTCTCCCATGAATAGTATCTCCCCCCCCCCCAAATGAAGCAAAGGAAAGCATGAGATAGAGTGGGAAACAGGAGACTTGAAAGTAAGTAAGTACAACTTACTAGCCCCAACAACCCCTATCCATCATGCCAGCTTTTGCTCTCACATTTCCCTTCTGCTTTCTACTCCTGAACAATTATGTTTGTTTAAAAGTGCCACATCTGCAGAATTGTGTTGTACCAAAGACCATGATGTCCTAGAATAAACTGTTCCCTCACATGGCAATAAATGAAGCCATAGTTCAGTCTTCGTTGATACCGAAGATGTTTGCAGATGCCTCTTGCTTCAAGAGGAGGGAGAAGCTCAGAACATGATGGTTGGGTCTGGGCACACAGAACTGTGTGTTGGACTTGGTGGAGTCCAACAGTTGGTACACCCTGAGAACTGAGTGTTTATATTAAGTTTTCTGCATTTGTAGCTGCAGAGATACGTTTGAAAACATGCAAGCTCTCTTCTGTAAAATGCTCAGCGCTGGAAACTGTTAGTCCTACAAGATACAATATCAGCCCTTTCCTTGGTCCTCCAGTCATTTTCCATCACTTGCCCTGCTTGCAAGTGTGGTAGATGGTGAAATTATCTGGTGGCAGCTTCTCCAACAAGCAGGGAGAGGAACAACACAGGAATAGCAGTGCAATTCCTAATTATCTCTTCCTTATAACTACAGGTTTAAAATGTACATTATTGGAAAAAACAGCATGCACTATATTATGCTTACATAGTATGACTTCCCAGCACAATTTTTGACCCAGATTTTTGGTAGCACTTGGTCCTTGCAACAAAACTTACAAGGCTCATGTTTTGAACTCCTTAAAAGGATGATGACCGGGGGGGAGGGAGGGCCTCAAGCAAACCAGGTTAGTTCTGTAGTGCAACAAATCCTTCATTAAGAGCCAATGCAAGAAACTGAGAATGGGAGAACCTGTTAATCTTCTGTCATCCACTAGCTGCCCATTGAAAACACATGTTTGTGTGGTGTTCAGAGGTTTGAGCTAGTCATTTAACACCTGCGAACAGAAATGCCTCACCAAGAACATGTGAACATTCTTAGAGCAAAACTGTTTTGATGTCTCTGATTGGAAAAAGCAGAGACGCCATAAGAATGGAATTAGATTGAGTCAGCAGCAGTCTTTTTCTAGCTGAAATTGTTTAGGCTGTCAGTTACCTAGTGAACAAATGCAGCGAGTGGTTTAAGTTCAAGAAAATTCCCCACCTTTTTAGCTTTCAGTATTTCAAAATAATTGTGTTTGTTTAGATTAGGAAGCCACTTAACTTTAAAAGCCGCTAGTATTGGTTTGGATGGGGTGGGGGGGCTTCCTTAATAGTACTGAACTAGTGGTGTAGCAATTTAAAAATGAGCCCTGTTTCTGGCTTACAGATGCAGTCAATTTGGCAGAAATGCGATTCTAGCACAGAGTCACTTCCTGCAACTGCATGGCAGCTGCAAAGCAACTGCTGTAAAGTAATTATAGATGGCTTAATCTTTCAAATATATTTCTGCAGGTGGAATCTCAGCAAAGTCCATGGAGGAATATGCAGGTGTCATGAGATGAGATTATACATGGAGCTTTGTGGAGACTTCATCTGTTGTTGTGTTGGCCTCTTAGCATGCCTGTTACAATGTGAAAAACAAGTCAGCCATACATTAATCTGAGCAATGTCAATATATTGTTGCAGATTTCTAAGTACAACAAGATACATATTTTTAAACACACATTCCTCGCTTATAATAGGAGCTTTTTGCCAGAATTGTGCAGTGTAAAAATTAAAGAGTAGGGGAGGGAAACTAGGAGGAAAAACAGATTAAAATCTCCACTCACCCATGAAGCTTTCTGGGTGACCTTGTGCCAGTCTCATAGGGATGTTATGAGGCTAAAATGGGATGGACAGAGAGACAACCTTGTGTGTTATGACTACTTTTGCAAACTTGCTGTCTCTTAGACAAGTTAGTCTGACCACTTGACTTTGGGAGAAAGGTAAGTATATCTGTCCTAATGGAAACTCTGGGCATAATTGTAATCAAACTTAGGGTGCTACATTTTCTCTGTAAGAATTATCTCAGGGGACCATTCACTCAATTGCCTGCAGTCTTGTATTTTGGCTGATGCAGAAGTAGGCCAATGAATGGTAGGCACTTACGTAACAAACTCGTGTGCTCTTGCTTTGTAGACCACTAAAGCATTCCTTCCCAAAATGCTGGAATTGAATCATGGACACATTGTGACTGTTGCAAGTTCCCTTGGCCTGTTTAGTACCGCTGGAGTGGAGGTTTGTTAAGATTACTGTACTTTAAAACTGATCTTGCATGTCTAAGTGCTTCATGCTGTTGTTGAACCTGCTGGTGTACAAATTAACTCAGACTTCTGGGAAGCTCACAGCTCTAACTTCTGTTGAAAATTCAAGGTTCAACTTGAATTCAGTTGAGTAACCATCACTTTAGGTTTTTTACTTTATAGAAATGACTTCCTCAGAAGAGTTAGTGCGGAGAATAAGAATGAGCAACACTTGTTGAAATACCAGCAGTATGGTATTTAATAGTCGTCATCCCCCCCACACGCCATACATGGTATTACATGTACCAAAAATTACCATTGTAGGTATAGTGAAGGTTAGATCAGGGTTGGAGAACCTGTGGCCATCCAGATGGTGTTGGGCTCCAGCTTCCATCTGTTCCAGTCAGCATGGCCAATGGTCAGTGATGATGGGAGCCAGACTCCAACACCAGTTGGTGGGCCACACGTTCCCCATCCCTGGTCTAGATGTTGCAAGGCAGCATTCCTGCTTGAGACACTTCAGAATTAAAATACAGTACCAGTGACATGACAGATTTCAAAATGATAGTTGTGTGATCAAAATGGAATAAGGTACCTCCTGTCTGCTCTCTTTCCTAGCCTCACACTAAGTACTTCTGGAGCACTCTGCCCCATACTGTGTGGTCATCATAAGTGCTGGTGGCTTGATGAAAACAAAGTGTTTACTGGTCACTCCTCTACATAAAGTTTTTATGTACTTAAATATCAATGGTGGTCTTTCGTTCTGATTTAAGAAGGCACAATTGTGAACCACTGTGGGTGGTTTTTTCTTTCACACTCCCAACAATAATTCCACTAATCAACACTGATTGTCTAATTTAGCCATTGTGCTGCAACAGGTTGTAAAAAGCAGAACTTCTTAGTGAGCAAACAAGCAAGGCAGAAAAGGATATAGAAATGCTAAAGGAGAAGCGGTTTAGACTTCATATCCCTGGCTGGCAAATAAACAATGGCAGATTACCAGACTAAGCCACCCACACCTTCAGGTGGTCCACAAGCAAGATTGTCTCCCAGTTACTTTTCCCATTGTGTGTTTCCTTCTCCCCTGATAACCCAAGTCATGAGGTTTCAGAATGAAAGAGAATATGCACTTCCATACTGATGGGGCATTTCTTCTTGTATTATGACTTGAAGCTGACAACTGACTTCACAATACATTCCTGCCCCTCATTACACTGCTACATAAAGCTAATAATACAGATGAGAAGAAATTATTTCAGTTAGTGCTATCACCGCTTAGAGGACTTTGATTAAGTGATATAATGATTCAATAGGAACATGAACGGTGCTTTCAAATCTGTTCACTTTATTTTTGCTATATTTACACACTTGCTTCTTCCAATCTAGGATTATTGTGCCAGTAAATTTGGAGCAGTGGGTTTTCATGAATCTTTGAGCCATGAACTGAAGGCAGCTGAAAAAGATGGCATTAAAACAACATTGGTCTGTCCTTACCTTGTAGACACAGGAATGTTCAGAGGCTGCAGAATTAGGTAAGCAAACTAGCTTGTTTTTTCTCATCTCCAGTAACTGTGGAAAAAATAATAGCTATATCAAATGCCACAAAAATGACATGTTTTGGGTCCAGTGCAATAAAAGATCTACATTGCAAAACATAAATATGATCTCTATAACTTTGTTCATGTAACAGGGAAACAAAAATATTATTTGAAGCCAAGGTGCATTTTGCGCTTTCACTTTTTGATGTGTCATAAACGCCTCTTATATCTGGTAAATGTACAGACTTGTTTAATCTAGATCAGACTTTAATTTAGAAACGCTTCAAATGGCATAATCTGACCCAAATTAAACCATTGACTCTCATATTAAAATCAATGGGACTTAAGCTTATATTTAAACCATTCCTTTTGAAGTAAAAAGTGGCTTTAACTCTGGCTGAATCTTCTCTCTGCATGTATATTTCTAAAATGAAGCTTTCGTTTTTCTTTTTCAGAAAAGAAATTGAACCTTTCCTTCCACCACTGAAGCCAGATTACTGTGTAAAACAAGCAATGAGAGCTATACTTACAGACCAACCTATGATTTGCACACCTCGCCTGATGTATATGGTCACCTTCATGAAAAGGTGACTATCTTGGAATCTTGGCTAGCAGTTAATGTATAACTTTTAACAGACCAATGGGTACCCAGTATATTGGAGTGCTGTACATCTTGGACTTGCTCTTACTAGTCTCACCCCTGGAATACTTCTTGTCAGAGAGTCCGATAGCATAAATCAGGCATAGGCAAACTCAGCCCTCCAGATGTTTTGGGACTACAGCTCCCATCATCCCTAGCTAACAGGACCCAGTGGTCAGGGATGATGGGAACTGTAGTCTCAAAACATCTGGAAGACCAAGTTTGCCTATGCCTGTCATAAATGGACAGCTAGAAAAGTTCTGTAGGAACTTGTGTTGGTGGAAAAACTTCTCAAGTGTACAATAATATACTTATAATGTTTGATTGAATAATTCATACAAGTCAAGCTGTGTGGCAAGAGGAAAACAGTGTTTTTGATAACTACACTGGAAGTGAAATAGTTTTGGATCCCAAATACAGCAGTCTTTCTCTGAATTAATAAAACAAACCATTCCTGAGTATTTGTCTAGAAAGGTGCCTTTGGTGCCCTTTATGTCAGCATTCTCTGTTCATGGCACAGCACTAGAAAAGGTAAAAAGTTCATGGGCTGTAGTAGGGAGAGAGAGAGAGATTTCTCCTCACCCCAATTATTTTAATCTTATATTGGCATATTAAGAATGCACACACATCCCCCAGAACAGCCTATGTGGATCACATGTTAAGGCACTTAACTAACGCTTGGACCTTGTGTTTGAAATGTTATAGTTTGCAGTGCAGAAAAACTACACCACACTAGGCCCACCTGGCACTCATATTTAATAAAGGATTCCCTCCCAAACAGCCCCCCTTTCGTCCAGCTGCTAAGTCTCCATATTGTGGAATCCACAGGTGGGAATGGGGGTAGTGGAGGCATCCTGGCCTCCTTAATTTGGATCATAAGCGGGGGGAGCTAATCAGCACTAAGTTATCTGCTCTTGCACTGTAGCTTCAGTTCTGGAGAACTCCCACCCCCTCTGTTTGCCTTCTGATGATACACACAAATTCAACTTAATTGGCACAAGCTCCTGCTTGCACAGTGAAGCTAATGGAGGCAGCAGCAGCTATGCCCATTGCTTCAGTAGGCAACTTTGACAAATAATTCCATTGCCAAATATCCTGGATCTGAAGAAGTTCTTGCTTTTCAGTTGAATTCAAATTTCTGGGGTTTTTTAAACTGAAAACTGGCATCAACAAAGGCATGCAAAACAAAACTGGAAGTGTTAGTATTGATTCATCTAATCTCTGAAAGGTTTCTACATAGTGCCCCAGCAAGTATATAGCAAAAACTAGTCCAATGTCAAAATCTTCCTTCAGTTAAACATCAGTGTGGCACTCCAATTTCTGATGGGGGCGAGGGCTACCCTGAAATTTCTGTGAAGTGTTCTAGGTCTCCCATTGTCTATTTCTCTTTTAAAACTGAGGCTCTTTAACAATGCTCAGAAATTGGGGGCGAGCAATATCTGAATATAAACTTCTAATAGCTATCTGACATTTTAAACATTTGTCATACACAGTCGTATATTTAAAGTAATCAATGATTGTTATTGCATCAAGGCTTTGTTTACTCGTACAAAAGATTATTTCAAAAGGACTAGGCTGAAAATAGCACATTGTCTTTTGTCTGTTTTTCTTACTTTCAAGGAGAGGTCAGTAACTGCAGACAGTATTTTTAGCTTTCTGGCATTTATGTCTAAATAAATAAATGCATCATATGTAAATATTGATACTTATTCTTGTTTTTTTATATTGTATTTTTACCCTGAGATCTACAGATGAAGGGCGGTATACATATTTAATAAACAATAGCAATTCTTCACCAATTGTCATCTAAAGTGTTTTATAACATTTCTTATTTTCTTCCCCCTCTCAGCATCCTGCCTTTTGAAGCAGTTGTGTGTATGTACCGGTTTTTGGGAGCAGACAAGTGCATGTACCCTTTCATTGCTCAACGAAAACAGGCCACAAATAACAATGAAGCAAAAAATGGAATTTAACATTTTACAAAGGACTGGTGTTTGTAGCTGAATTATGTTCAAAACTAAGTGACTGAATTGTGAAGTGCACTTGCAGTTAGCAGATGCAATAGTTAACATTTTACTGTGGTATTCTCTTGGATCCTATACCTGTATAGTGAACAGAAAATCAATGTTTTTACATACTGTATATAAAGTAATAGAATTCTTGGAAACTGTGATGGGCAAAGTGAATTTATAAAATGTAGTGGTCACCCTTGTCCCTTTTGAAACTTCACTAAATGTACATTAGCATTCTACTCTTTTGTAAACAAACTGTGTAAGATTGCTCCTGAGATGGCCATTCAACCAGAAGATGCAATTGTTTCAGCACCTATTATATTTTCTTCTATTTTCTGTGGGCAAACATTTTAAAACAAATGTGGTGAAATAGTGGGGCGGTGTTTCACGGGTTGACCCAGGCTACGTAGAACAGATAAATTTCAGTGAAATTCTGCTGTGTAACACCTACATCCATTGAACACTAAATCTTTCCTAACTCAACTGGAAAATTTGCATTTTATGAAGTTTTTGGAATGAAGTAATGCAGGACTTTTTCATTCCATTACTGAGAGAGACTCCCCTCTTTTCCCCACCCCAAATCTTTTTAAAGTTGGTAGCTTCTTAAAGCTAATTTGTGTTTTGAGGTGGCAATGGCATATCTAAATTATGGCCAAATATCATGGCAAAACCCTTTCTGCCCCCCTCATTGCTCTCATATGTAAATATTACTTTACCCAAGCTCTTGTCTAAAATTCAAAAGCAATCAAGCAAGGTGGATAAAAAAAGTAAGTCTTCATTCTTATGCCAGCTAATTTGCAAAGATACGGTTAATTCTGGATGCAACTTGACTGTTTTAAGGATGGAAAGGGTGTGTAAATGTCTCTTCACGAACATTTTGAAAAAGTGTTCATGTTGTAGAAGCAGTTGGGTTTTTTGTTTGTAAAAAAACACAATTTTGTGCCTTGAATCTGAGCATCTGTATTAGTGGAATATTGTAACGGTGAACTTCTACCTCTATATCTAAATGTATACCATCCGCTTGTAAATTTACTATAAAACAAATCCTGTGGTGACTTTTTTTTTTTTTTTAGAATGTCATGTTAAATAGTGACCAACTTTTGTGGTTATTAAAGTGAGCCACTTTGTTCTTTAAGCAACTCCTTGTATGTGTTTTAAATGCTGACAAGGTTCTGGGTTGGGTTGGAGAGAGCCTAGGAAACCACTAGCAAAGAGTAACATGGCTGGCTGCTGTTGCGCTCAGAGCTAGAAATTACTAGCTGCAGTACACAGGAACTCTATTTCTCCCAACAGCATCTAACTAGGAACCAGACTGTTAGGGGAGAGAGAGAATGTTTGGAAGGAGATATTGGGGGCTGTGGGAGGAAGTCAATGTTGGAGAGTTATTTGACACGGAAGCTTTGTAGATTCTTGGTAGCATCTGGGGGGTGGGTTAAACAAGGCATTTGTGTGATCATGTTACATATTTCAAGGTCATACGCTCAATGAACTGTGGACCACTGCTTGTCATCTGCAAGTCCTCAGGGTGGACACTTTAAGGTTTCTGCTGAGTATGGAAACTTGTAAGGAGACTATGCCTGTTGAACATCCCAGTTGGAAAGGGGAAATGGCCAGTGCAAAGCAACTGAATGCTGCTGAAGTCTTTCTCCTGCTCGTAGCAAGTGCTCCAACAGATATGGTATGTGATTGAAATAAAAATGATAGAGGTGACGAGAGAAGTGAGCTCAAACACCCAGGAAAATCTATTGAGGGCATTTTCAAAGCAATGTGGATGACACCAGGACTTGGTCCTACCTGATCCTTTGTGACGGCAACAGCAGTAGTTCCTTAGCAGCCTCCCCCAGCTTGGTGCCCTTCGGGTCACATCTGCCCCAGCCAGCATGCCTAATGTTCAGAGATGATCAGAATTAAAGTCCAAAATATCTATAGAGGGTACCAGGTTGAATAAAAGTGGCTAAGATTAAGGGTTGGAGTGTCATCCAAGCACTGTCTCTGTAACGCAAGTGATGGAATGGGGTCCTAATTTCAGGCAGGTCATGTGGAGGTAGCTAGGACAAGCTGGCTTTGTGGCAGGTGGAGAGTACCTCACTGACTGCCCAATGTTTGCTTACCAGAGCCACATTCACTGCAATGTCTCCTCCTACAAGGCTATATAGTCAACAGGTGAATTGAGCTCTGAAAGACACATAAGCTTCCCCCCGCTTTCATTGCTCTCCCTGCCACCAATGATAGCAATAGCAATGATGGGGTTTGTGTGCTGCCTGTTTGGACTAACTACCAAGGAATAGCAACCCTCTTGCCATGCGTGATCATTCTGCTTGCCTGCCTGCCTGCTCAGTCAGACAGCTCACTTGGGGCTTCCCAGACTTCCCTTGCCTTTTTAAATTGGCTATCCTTGCATGCTTAGTCATCAGAGTGATGATAGGGTAAAGGTAAAGGGACCCCTGACCATTAGGTCCACTTGTGACCGACCCCGGGGTTGCGGCGCTCATCTCGCTTTATTGGTCGAGGGAGCGGCGTACAGCTTCTGGGTCATGTGGCCAACATGACTAAACTGCTTCTGGCGAACCAGAGCAGCGCACGGAAACGCCGTTTACCTTCCCGCTGGAGAAGTACTTATTTATCTACTTGCACTTTGAGGTGCTTTTGAACTGCTAGGTTGGCAGGAGCAGGGACTGAGCAATGGGAGCTCACCCCGTCGCGGGGATTTGAACAGCCAACCTTCTGATCGGCAAGTCCTAGGTTTTGTGGTTTAACCCACAGCGCCACCTGTGTCCCCAGAGTGATGATGGGTAAGTGCAAATACAATATAGAGAGATAACAGTTTTGTACTGCGACTGCACAGCGGCTACAGACACCATGCAACTGCATTGCACACTATCTTCACTGTTGCAATTTATGCACTAGCTCAGGGATAAACCCAACTTCCCCCATGGCAAAATATGATACTGTGTCATCCCTGCTTAATGCTACCTGGAGAAAACACTTTGCTCTCCTGCACCAAATGTTCAGCGACTGAACATTGGTTGTGACATTCTGTTGTCTGAAAAAACAGTTGTTAGCAGTAAAGATACGGAAGGGCAAGGATGCTTACCGTAAATAATAATGGGTAGAGATGTAGGGTAGGCAGTCCCAGGTATAATTTGTATAATTGCACCTGAGGGAAGTCTGTAGCTCAGTGGTTGGGCACATGCTCTGCGTGCAAAAGATGCCAGGTTCAATTCCTGGCATCTTCAAGTTGGGCTAGAAAATAAGCTTGTCTGAAGCTTTGGGGAACCACTGCCAGGCACAATACTGTACTCTATGGTCCATTGTCCTGGCTCATTGTAAGGAAAGGGTGTTTTTTTTTCAGCCCAAGGGCTGCCTTGCCTTCTACACAACCTTCTGGGAACCACATGCCCGTGGTGGGTGGTCCAGAACCAAAAGTGGGTACAGCAACAAAGGTTAATTTACTCACACATCCCACTCTATTCTCCATCCAAGGCAAGCAAGAAGTATGAGCATTCAAGAATACATCCCAGCATAGGAAAAGCATTCAAGGAGGGTGCCAAGCAGGGCCAGCTAGGTAGGGGAGCAGCTGGGGGGGAGGGTCCCCAGTTGGGGGTGACTTTCTTATATTAGCTAGTTGGTTGTAATATCCTGTGACTTATTGCAAGCAAAATTACTAAACGCACCCCTAAACGTGATTACTCCAAAGGAAGTCCCACTTCTCTAGTTCTTCCCATTAGAGAAGGAATTTATATATAATTGTGGTCACAATAACTCTGCTTCTCAGTTGAACAGTGTTTCATAGACAGTGGAAATAGGTCAGTAAATGCCAACCACGTATATAATTTAATATACGAAAACCCCCAAATGTTTAGGTGATGTATGCTCCTGGTAACGGTTCAGCCACTCCAGTTTTACTTGCTACTAAAGATGCATCAGCTAACTTGTGAGTTTGCAGGTATGCATCGGACACTTCTCTGTAATCATAGAGAAGAGACCAGAAGCAGCTGCACTCTAAAGCAGGCCTATCCATTTCTCTATGACCCTTTTGAAAACCAGATATGGGAAGAGGGTCTGAAAAAAGATTAGCACATGCCATTAATAGATGAATAAAAGGAAACAGCCAAATGTCTTTGGCACCTTTGAGTGATGCATACCACAATATAAAATGGTGGTCATACTCTACAGCTGTCACAGTTATACTTGAATAGTCCAAATTCATGGGGTTAATCTGTCTGAAAACACCTGTAAACCAATTTAATTACTTCCTCAAGGTCCTTGATGAGGTGCAGCTCAAGGCAGAGAAGTAAAAAACTAAACCCATGTGGCATTTAAACTGAAGACACTGAGATGCCCAAATGCACTGAATTCAGATCTGAAGTTGAAGTATTTGGTTGTGTCTATACTAAATGCAGCATAAACACAGTATCATTACCACAAATTGGTATAATTCCAGTTGTGATGATGAAGTAACAATGGGACTATTTGAATCACTGCATCTTCTCCTGGTGAGTCATCCTGAGTGTTTGTAGAAATTTTTTCTTAGCGCAAGAAGAGTAGCAGCTATGTCACAAAAGGTTCAAGTCCAGATGGAGTGAAAGAGAGTTTCAAAATGTATGAGTAGTTTTATACCTCAGGATTGGACAGACATAAATTAAGATGTTAATGACTAACAGTGCAACCCTGTATGTGTCTTCTCAGAAATAAGTCCCCTTTGAGCTAAGTTTGGCTTACTCCCAGATGAGTGGGTATAAGATAGCAACCTTAATCATTGGTCTTCACTAGCCATTTTTTAAAAAAATAGTCCTTCGTTAATAGATATAACAGCAGTAATTAACTGTGGGGCATAGAGCCAGTGTTGTGTAGTGGTTAGAGTGTTGGATTAGATTAGGACCTGGAAGACCAGGGATAAAATCCCCACTCATTCATGAGGCTAACTAGGTGACCTTTGACCATTCACAATCTCTCAGCCTAACCTACCTCACAGAATTCTTGTGAGGATAAAATGGGGATTGGAAGATTAATCTGAGCACCTAAAATGAATGGTGGGATGGGAAGAGGAAGAGGAAGAGGAAGAGGAAGAAGGAGGAGGAGGAGGAGGAGGAGGAGGAGGAGGAGGAAATTTCAACCTCGCAGATTAATGAAGTTGCTAAAAATATGGAAAGGCTACAAGCTGTACTGTAACCAGCAATACTATTGTGAATTTAAAGTGTAATTACTTATTACTGGTGCAACACTGATATGCATGCAGCGAGAAATTGAGAGAAAATATGTGGACTTGAGTAGAGTAACTGTTAGAGCTGGAATAGCAAAATATTTCTTCCAGTAACTTGCTGATCTATTTAAATGGATAGCTGGTATATACAGTTTGATTTTTTTTTTTTAAAGGCCAGTCACCCCAACAGAAAAATGTGAATCAGCTGAAGAATAAACAAAGATAACGAATGTCAACATGTAATAATCAATGTTAAAAATGACAAAGCATATAAGCTGCAAGTGTTCAATAAAACAGAACAACATTGTCTTTGCCAAGAAAATTATGTGTCTATGGTTATTTTTGTAATTTGTGTGTAATTTGGTATTTGTGTTTTTTTTGTGCGTGTTTTTTTCTTGTTGTATGTATAAATAAATAAATGAAAAGAAAAAAACCCCAAAAAAACCAGAACAACATTGTCTATATCAAGCAGTGATAAAGAAAGCACACACACTTAGGATGCCAAAGGTCAATAAATACAGAAAATAGCTCCTAGTGTTGAAGTTATATCCCAATAGAAGGCTGTCCATTTGTCAATTTCAGATTGCTATATACAGATGATGATAAGAACTTGTGAAGGAAAGAAAGTGAGTGAATATTGAGGCTAAAAACTTTGGCCCCGGGCAGGCTTAATGAGGAATTATATTTGCTTCCTCCCTTATAGTTACAAGATTTGGGGATGCTCCCTTGGGCTTTTTTTCTCTCTCATGGCTACAAGTGATAGTTGCTGATCTTTTTAAAGCATATATTAACAACATCTGTATATGATTCTTTAGAAAATATATAATTTGTTGCCTTTGGACAATAATTTTGGTCATCAGTTAATGTAAATAGGAGATATATTAGGGCTGCCGTACGTCCAGATTTCCCCAGACATTACCAGGATTTTAAAAATAAATTTAAAAAAGTCCAACAACTGCTGTGACTGAAGGTGGCTTTAAAAAAAAAGTCAGAACATCACAGTGAAAAAGGAATCAGCATCTGCTAAACTGCCTCCAACTGTTTAAAGACACATAAGTTTTATTTAATGTTTGTTGGTCACTTTTAAGCCAACTGGCCTCAAGCTTGGCTGAGTGAATTGTACAATCTCTTAAAAATGATCAATATATCTGCAGAGTAGAAATATAGCTCTAACAAGTTAAACGAGCAGCACTGTCCTGTTGGGAGATTCTGTGGACCACACTCCCTTTTCTAAAAACATTTTAAAAAATAAAATCCCACATGATTTATTGTGTAACCAAGGACTCTTCATTTTCAGCACAGAAACTTGTTTATTGATGTTGGCTAAGTTGCCATCCAAACCAGTTAGATAGCACTGATGTAAAATGATTTCTGCAAAACTTCCCACTGGCCTGTTCTCTCAAGGATTTGGATAACTAAATCCTTTGTTTCTGTAATCCAATTAAGAGCCTGCATAGCAGCAAAGTTTGGGAAACAGCTAAAGTTGGGTGATCAAGAAAGTTAGTGGTCTGCAACTGAGAAGGCAAAGAGGAAACTTTGGAAGTATGAAAGTTCGTAAAACTTTCTCAAAACATACTCTGATTGTCATGTGTTTCACCACCCATTGAGATTTCTGCCTATTTCATAAAATCCCTGAACTTTTCAAAGTCCTTATTATTGCTGGTATTTTACTGTTCTGGAGGGAGCGGTGGGAATTATGGGCACAGGATATAAAAAAGTCATAAAGGACTCGGCGGCATCTCCAGGTTTTAGGGGTCCCTTGCTCGGGATTCCTCAAGTGGCCCCATCAGCTTGCCACTATCACCTTTGCCCATTTCCTTGTTGTCTTCCTTTGTGCCCAACACTCATCATCAGTGCTCAGAATGAGAGAGCAAGGCAAACAGAGGCTCTTGTTGGATAAAGCAGGGTGAGGGAGCTCTGGGGATTAGCAGACTGCTGGCATATGGGCCTTAGAAGATGCCAACCCTTTTGATGGCTCCAAAATTACTGTATCCACACTTCTAAAAGCTATATCTGTTTTCCACTAGACCAGCTTTGTAATACCCCAAATCCTGAAAATATAGTTTCAGGAGGCTGCTGAGGATATTCTTTTAGATACACACCACCCTCTCTATGGGATCATCAACACTTTCGCTTATCCTGTGCCTAGAATGTGGGAGATTGCACTCAAACATATCTATGCATGAGTGCTAGTTAGTGCATGAAGGGGGTAAGACCAGAAAGTTCTGTCCCTAGATTCCGCTAGGTCATGCCCCCTGTTCTCTGTGAGGTGAGGAAGTGAAGCTGCTGTTCCTCACATTCTCTCCATGCCATGTTATTGACCATGATGGACATGTCTGAACTTGCTCCAAGTTCACACAGCATGTTTTAAACTATATGCTGTATTTTGCAACCAAGAGTAATCTACCTGTGTTCTCCTTGCTGTTGCATGGAATAATGCATGAACCAGACCTTTGGATCTAGTAAGTAAAGCATTTTAAACTTACTTAACAATGTGTGGCCTGTTCATTGCTAGATGGGTACAGAGAGAAGGCAAGCATTTTAAGGCAGACTAAAAGGGATATACAAAAGAATTTAACAACCTATATTCTACAATATGCTGCTGGTGAACTCTGAGTGTGTTTATAACTCTGCTGGGGGCTGTCCCACTGGAGAGTGTTCAGAGCCCTACAAATTGAATCTAGGCTCCCAGATTATTGTTTTGTTAATTACCCACACATATGTCAGATCTATTTTCCACATGCACACAGAAAGCATGGGTCCGAACGGTTTTCCATTTGACCCACAATTTCTAGGCATGAGTCCCAGCAGTTTTCCCCTTGCCCTACTGCTTTCCCTGGGAAAATCCGCTCTTTAGTGCTAAATCAGAGGAAACATCAATCTGGAGAAACCTCAGATTGCCGTTTGCTCCAATTGAGCACTAAAGAGCAGTTTTCTCCAGGGAGAACAGGGGAAAGCAGTGGGACAAGAGGAAGTCTGAATAAGCCCTATGACTCTCTCTCTCTCTCTCTCTCTCTCTCTCTCTCACTCACACACACACACTCATCCCCTACAGTTTACAGACATCCCTGAAGAGAGGCAATGACTGTTTAGCCAGTCTAAGTCTGTAGCACATATATACCCTCTGTTCTTAGATCAAAAGACCAATCCTTACCACAAGACAGGTCCCTCCATTTATCATCTCCCTGGAGAGCAACCTGCACAGTTAAGACATCAATGGGACTATTAATTGTGTACTTACAGTTGGATAGATCTTTGCAAAAATCATCCCTAAATTGGGTATTTATAAAGAATCTGCAAAGCGGTGGTACTGTGTGTTCAAGCTGATCTTCCTTTGATGTACGCCACTGTGGTAATTACACACAAGATTAAAGGAAAATAGTGGAGACCACAGAGATTCAATCTCTTCCCACTAGCATAAGGGCTTAGGATGGGTCTTTTCACGGAAAGCCTCTGATTCCTAGGAAGGAAAGTTTTCAGGTCTTATCTGTCTGTTGCAGTGTTTTAGTCATTTTTATCCTGCCTTTCAACTGGATATTTTCAAGGCACTGTACAAGACTGATACAACATCAATCCAAACAAATTACTAAAATGAAATAGAAAACTATAAAGCAGCGGAGAAAATGGAACAGGACAGGGGTTCAAATAAAACAAAACCATCATCAGTAATAGAACAGAACCTCTAAAAGCCATCCGCAGGTGCTTAAAACATAGCAGAGTATGCACACGGCAAACAACCCTGTGGAAAGAATTCCAAAAACTGGTGCCACCATCAAGAAGGTCCAGTCCCTGTTAGCACACACTAAGCATGAGAAAAGCCCCTACATTTGATCTCAGTTTAGACCTTAAGATGACCTTTAAAGTCCTATATGGAAACACACACAATCACGAATTGTACTGGAAATGGTAGATCCACAACTTCCTCCAAAGAATCCAGGGAACTTTAGTTTAAGAGGGTGGATATCATTTAAATGTATGGTGTGGATCTGTCCTTGGTTAGAAGTTAGCAAATTGGGCTAGTGAAGCTTATGGTACTGTATTTCTAACTTGATTATAATAATTATTTGTAAATCTGTATGTATATATATATATATATATATATATATATACATTAGTTTCTGCAATTTTTATACAAATCTGCATATTTTGTCACCTTTTGGGGTGGGGAGTTTCTTCTTTTTAAGTGCTCACCCTAGTCTCTTTACATATTGAACTGAAGAAGAAAGTTCCTGGCTGCTTTAAACAAAAATGTCACCAATCAGTAATGGGTAAACAAGGATCCACATCCTCTTTGTATGTATTAGCAGAGCTTTTAGATGTTAGAAGACATCTGAAGGAAGCCCTGTTTAGGGAAATTTTTAATGTTTGATGTTTTATCGTGTTTTTAATATTCTGTTGGGAGCCACCCAGAGTGGCTGGGGCAACCCAGTCAGATGGGTGGCTAATTATTATTATTATTATTATTATTAGCAGTAGTAGTAGTAGTAGTATCATTAATATTGAAAAAGTCAGTTAGAGATGCGCAAGGTGTAAACGATGTTTGTACTTATGCTATCAAACTCATCTCTGTCTAGTAACAAACTTGTACACATGTGCCTAAGCATTAGAACATTTGACCCTCTAGGTCAGGGTTTCCCAAACTTGGATCTCCAGCTGTTTTGGGACTACAACTCCCATCATCCCTAGCTAGCAGAACAAGTGGTCAGAGATTATGGGAACTGCAGTCCAAAAACAGCAGGAGACCCAAGTTTGGGAAGCCCTGCCCCAAGTGTTATTGACATAGCTCTGTTCCGCCCATTTTTCTCGTTTAGCCACTCACTATTTTAAAATTCTGTATAGAAAAATACATCTACAAATCTAAAACCAGACAGTAAAAAACCTTCAAATTTATTCAGTATCTGCAATATCATCAGCTGCATTCTGCCTTCTGAGGAACGGCTGCAGCTCAGTGGCGCAGCATCCCCAGCATCTCCAGGTATGAATGTGGTGAGAGAACCGCGTCTGAAATCCTGGAGAGCTGCTGCCGCTCACTGCAGTTAGTACTGAGCTGGATGAACCAATAGTCTGAGTCAGTAAGGCAGCTTCCTATGAAATTACATTCTCTGGACTTGGCTAACGCCATTAAAAATGAGGCAATTTTGCTTTTATTTTAGCAAAAAGCAAACAAATCTTTCTTCTGAACGACAGCCCATTATTTACAGACCAGGGATTTGAGCTGACTTACCCATCCTGCACCAGCCCTCCCCAACCTGATGCTTTCCAGAACCT